AATGCATCTCCATGTTATGGAGAAGGGGTCGGGGTAGTCCCTTCTTCTTAACACTTAGGGGTTTATTTACTAAAGCTGGAGAGTCCAAAATCAGACTCCCTTCTGCATAGAAACCAATCAGCTTCTAACCTCAGCTTGTTCAATGAAGCTTTGGCAATGAAACCTGGAAGCTGATTGGTTTCTATGCAGAAGTGAGTCTGATTTTGGACTCTCCAACTTTAGTAAATAAACCCCTTAGTGTCCTAGGATGACACTTTGGTACAGTTCTTGGTACAAGGGGTGCGTTAATGGCAGGATTGCCAGGTTACAACAAAGAACAAAATGTGAAAAAAAAAATTGCTGCAGCCACCACATCTAAAGCCTGGAAAGCATCAAAACTATCAATTTTTGGTTTAGATATACGTTTTTTTGCAACAAAGTAAAAGCCTGACTCCAATCAATATTTAAGCAGTAGGATTTTTTTCTCTTTTTATAAAAAAAAAAAAATGATTTAAAGCTGAAGTCTTGGTATGGTAATTTTTTACACAACTACGCTGGTCCAAACCTGTTGCCGAGCTGCTTTGTGAACACAGGAGATTGCTCACTCGGCACGAGTGCCATTCAGAGAATACTTTGCATTTTCTCAATGAATGCAAAGCATTCTCTGATTGGACGAGGTGGCGATTATGATGTCACCACCCCTCTTCACCTCATCCAATCAGAGAATGCTTTGCATTCATTAGGAAAGTGCAGTGTGTTTCTTGAATGGCATCTGCGTTGAGCGAGTGACCTCTTGTGTGTTAACAATGCAGCAGGACAGCCGCTTGGGACGGGACCCGGAAGCTACTGGCAGTCATTGTAGTAGTATCGACTACAGCGATTTCCAGCTTCCATAGGGATCTCACATGTATGGCACAAAATACTTCTATTGGATCATGCTGAACCAATGTAACTATGTAAAAATTGCCATACCTAAACTTGGAATAACCATCGTAAGTGCCCATGTATGGTTTATCCCACCCCTGTAATTGTCTGTTGGCTGGAAAGCTTGGCCTGGATTATAAAAAATAAAAATATAAATGAATATGATCTAAAAACGCTGTTTGATCAGAGAGTGGGTCTGCAAACTAACTTTAGATTATGTAGCCATGAACCAAAGCCAGTTCTCTATGGCCTGCCACGATGTGGTCACTGGGCCCCGTCAGTCCTGGTGTCTGCACTGTGTATGGGGTAACAGGGTGGAGAATATTTGTTGTTCTCCAGCAATATTATGCAAGAATTGCTCAAACCGTGTCAGTGATGTTTGTTTTATGGGTTATGGTGTGTTCTGCTTCACTAATAACTTTGTGTGTTCACAATCAGACAGAAAAGGGGGAGGGGGTTAAAGGGGAGCTGTCATCCTCCTCCTTCTTTTTTGTGCGTGTCTCCAAGTGCATCTTATCAGTGTGTTCCTGTATTTAAAGCCCTGTTCCTGTTTCTAATCAGTATTCATGGGCCGTTCATTTTGTGCCTTGCTGGTTCTCTATCACTGCATGTCTACCAGACGTCTGTCTGATTGAACAGTATAGACCAGGGGTCTCCAAACTACGGCACTCCAGGTGCTGAGGAACTGCAAGTCCCATGAGGCCTTGCAAGACTCTGACAGTCACAGGCAAGACTCCCAGAGGCATGATGGGACTTGTAGTACTTCAACAGCTGGAGGGTCGTAGTTTGGAGACCCCTGGTATAGACTGTAGTTTCTAATGTTTTTTCAAGTCAACTTTGATAGTTTCTAACTAAGGGCCATGCCTGAAATGCGTTGTCATGACGAGAGCCCAAGCAACACATCTACACTCAGCATAGCGTGTGTTCCAACCCTACTCGCGTTCGGTGAGCAATTTCCTCTCTAGTTGATGACATCACTTCCAGTGCGCCGGCTCTGGTGACCTGCCTGACGTTGGCAGTATGTTTCTGGCTCCCCCATCCATTCCATCTGTCACCTTCACATGATCCCGCTGTTAGTGTGAACCCAGTGGCTTCCACCCTACCACCAGCCTGTTACCATCTCATTTATGGGCTAACTTAGCTGAGTCTCTGTGGATTTTTCTATATATTATCAACTTTTGGCATATTGTCCACTCGTTATATGTCCACATATGGGCTTGGCACGTTTTTACACCATGTGAATCTTTTATCGTGTGAAATTTTTACTTTTTATACTGGATCACCAGTTTTACAAGAAATGCTTTGACTTTATACATAACCATGTGCAGTGATTTCACACTTATAAAAGCTTTCCCAAGCACTCCGTGTAGGTTGTTGGATACACAAGTGACTTGAGGAAGGCTTGAGCAGACAAGATTTACACTTGTGTTTTAGACTAAGCTGGTGCGCACTAGAGAAGGATATGCTGTGTTCATTTTTCACTTCAGAGGTTTACAACCACTTTACCCTTTTGCTTTGGGACCCCCCTGCAATGTTAGGGTTAAATGCGTGTTCATTCCAGGGTGGAGATATAAGCTGTAATGCTTTCCTTATCCCTTGCTCTAACATTTTACAGTAACTGTAATACTACAGCATACAATTGTGCACTTGCAACTTTGTTGTGACATAAATGTAAGATTCAGGTAGTTGAGATGTGATGTGATCAGTAGAAATATATGTAATTGTAGATCTCGTCTCATTGCATGTTATTACAGATAAGTATTCATTCAGAGACATATGTTCACCAATTAGCATCTGAAAGGACAGAGCAGCTTCTAGGCTGGAGGTGACACCAAGGTGCCAATAAAACATTGTCACCTATGTAGCCAGAGCTTGCCACTTCCTTGAAATCTAAAAGAGCTCTAGCCTGTCTGCCTTCGGGAAGGCACAGGGGACAAGGAGGGGGCTCCAGATTGTTTGCCAACTCTGATTTATATCCACAGATCAGAGGAATCTGTTTCATCTCTCATAAAAGCTAAAATATTATTGCAGAGAGATGAAAATACTTCCTTCTGATTGGACACACTGTAGGCTCCATCTACATGTAAAAGTGTATTTGTCGCCTCTGTAGAATCCCAGAGAAACGCAGAAAATGCTTATATGGCACCTGATTGCGACAGCTGAACAGTAATTGGTACTCTCACGATCGGACTGATGCACTGACGTCAGAAATTCTATCCCTGACTTGGCGATTCAAACCGTTCCTGGTCCAACTGACTTAAGGCACTTCAGAACCCAGAACGTCCTGTGGGCTGGTACAGGTACACCCCCCAGGGTTGATTGGCCAAGGGCTAAAGTCCAGCCCACATCCATATTTCAATAAATTGGGGACCCTGAAATATGGGTGGGGTGATTCGTACGGAGCTGGTTCTATTAGACTGGCGAATCGTGGACTTTCTCTGCCTTGCTCCAGTTGCAGGATAAATCTTGGTAAAAGTTTTTTTTTTTTTTATTTCTGTTTTTATTCCTTTTATAGTGAATGGCCAATTGTGTGTCTTTTTGTATTTTCTGTAACTTTTTTTTCTTTGTACATATTTATGCACTGCACACTGGGATATTAAATCATAAAATTAATAAGTGACTTCTGGGTACTTCAGCTCGGGCTCATATCTCCAGAGAGATTGTATTGTATTGCAGTGTCTTTATATGCTCGGTCTAAGTTCATTGCCAATCTGTATGCAGTTGTACTGTGTGTTGGCAGATTGCATGCAGATTGTAAAGTAGCAGATCTGCTGGACGGAGATCTGTGTGTGTGTGGTGGCCCAGCAGACCAGTCTGTGGACAAACTGTTGGGTGGTGGCAAGCTACCATTTGTTGTGTGTCTGGTGTGTTGACAGTGGGAGAGTGATTAACACCGGAGTTCTAGCTTGTAGGGTAGCTGGAGGAATCCTAGAAGGGTGTGCCAATTGCTAGACTGCTTCCCAACCCTTAGAGTGCACCAGATTGTATATAAGATTCGTATCTGCCTGTGTGTGGTCAGCCAACTGGATTGGAGTGGAGCCTCCCTCTAGTGGTGGCCAGAGGCAGTGCGAGCTGTGAAAGTGTATCACGGCCAGTCTTATATGTTCAAAGTAAGTCCCTCTTTACCCCCAAGTCACGGCTGGACGTGCACACCTCGGTTAGCTAGTCACTGTGGGCGTGCGGGTTTGGATCTGTGACAGTGCACTGCAACTTTGTGAACCCAGTTTGGGGGTGGCCTTTTTTTGTACACGGAGTACTTGTACCAAGTCAAACAGTTGGAGCAGATTGGCTTCCCATGACAGCATCTGTTTACGATCGTCACACTTTCAGGGTGGTCAGTTCATCAGTCTGCTGCTCCTTTACAGTCTCAGGCTAGGGACAGTTTGGTGGCCCAAGCCGTGTTTGTAGGGACAGTTTGGTGGCCCAAGCCGTGTTTGTAGGGACAGTTTGGTGGCCCAAGCCGTGTTTGTAGGGACGGTTTGGTGGCCCAAGCCGTGTTTGTAGGGACGGTTTGGTGGCCCAATCCGTGTTTGTAGGGACGGTTTGGTGGCCAAGCCATGTTTGTAGGGACGGTTTGGTGGCCAAGCCATGTTTGTAGGGACAGTTTGGTGGCCAAGCCGTGTTTGTAGGGACAGTTTGGTGGCCCAAGCCGTGTTTGTAGGGACAGTTTGGTGGCCCAAGCCGTGTTTGTAGGGACGGTTTGGTGGCCAAGCCGTGTTTGTAGGGACAGTTTGGTGGCCAAGCCTTGTTTGTAGGGACAGTTTGGTGTCCAAGCCGTGTTTGTAGGGACAGTTTGGTGTTCAAGCCTTGTTTGTAGGGACAGTTTGGTGGCCAAGCCGTGTTTGTAGGGACAGTTTGGTGGCCCAAGCCGTGTTTGTAGGGACAGTTTGGTGGCCAAGCTGTGTTGTTCATCTGTAGCAGAGAGAAGTCGGGTCACCAACCTGTCTGTTCAACCCACACATTACTTTTATTGCACGTTTCATCTAAAAATAACCTCAATTAGGATACAGAATATTTTGTGAAAACTGGTGGATAGCCTAATATAAACGTCACCATAATAGTACATCATTTTACCTGTCTAATCTGGAGACTTTTGTCATTGCAGAAATTCTGTGCGTCTGGTCATCAGGAAGGTACAGTTCGCCCCAGAGAAGGCCGGGCCTCAGCCAGTAGCAGAGACCACAAGAAACTTTTTGATGTCAGACCGATCATTACATCTAGAGGCCTCTCTAGACAAAGAGGTACAGTACTGGTATTTGTTCTAAAGGTCAGCACCATGCAAAACATAGTTTTCACATTTGCATGACTGTTGGCAAGTTACATCACATACTGGGGTTATTTACTAATGCAGGCCATAGACGGGTCGTTTATCGGTCGAATTTTCGTCCCGCACAAAAAATTGGCCGATATTCATGCCGTTAGTGGGGCCAGCCCGTCGGCCAGTTTTCGTGGATCTTCACCTTTATTTTCATCGGTCACACTGAAAATCCATGAAAAACGGCCGTTTTTCGAGGACATTGGTGGCAGCATCGACCGATTTTTCGTTTATCGGCCAAAAATTCGCCCGTAAAAAAACAGCCCGTCTGTAGCCTGCCTAAAGCTGGAGCATGCAAAATCTGGTGCAAGTCTGCATAGAATCCAATCGGCTTCCAGGTTTTGTTGACAAAGCTTAATTGAACAAACTGAAGTTAGAAGCTGATTGGCCACCATGCACAGCTGCACCAGATTCTGAGTGCTTTATTGTGCTTTTATCTAAACCATTCCATTGTAGCTCTGGCTGTATGTTTCGGGTCATTGTCCTGTTGGAAGATGAACCTCCGCCCCAGTCTCAAGTCTTTTGCAGACTCTAACAGGTTTTCTTCTAAAATTGCCCTGTATTTGGCTCCAATCAGCTTCCCATCAACTCTGACCAGCTTCCCTGTCCCTGCTGAAGAAAAGCATCCCCACAACATGATGCCACCACCATGTTTCACGGTGGGGATGGTATGTTCAGGGTGATGTGCAGTGTTTTCTGCCACACACAGCGTTTTGCTTTCAGGCCAAAAAGTTAAATTTTGGTCTCGTCTGACCAGAGCACCTTCTTACACATGTTTGCTGTGTCCCCCGCATGGCTTCTGGCAAACTTCAAACTCGACTTTTATGGCTTTTTTTCAACAATGCCTTTCTTCTTGCCACTCTTCTATAAAGGCCAGATTTGTGGAGTGCACGACTAATAGTTGTCCTGTGGACAGATTCTCCCACCTGAGCTATGGATCTCTGCAGCTTCTCCAGAGTTACCATGGGCCTCTTGGCTGCTTCTCTGATTAATGCTCTGCTTGCCCGGCCTGTCAGTTTAGGTGGGCGACCATGTCTTGGTAGGTTTGCAGTTGTGCCATACTCTTTCCATTTTCAGGTGATGGATTGAACAGTGCTCCGTGAGATGTTCAAACTTGGGATATTTTCTTATAACTTAACCCTGCTTTAAACTTCTCCACAACTTTATCCCTGACCTGTCTGGTGTGTTTCTTGGCCTTCATGATGCTGTTTGTTCACTAATAAAGCTCTGAGGGCTTCACAGAACAGCTGGATTTATACTGAGATTAAATTACACACAGGTAGTATTTAATAATTAGGTGACTTCTGAAGGCAATTGGTTCCACTAGATTTTAGTTGGGGTATCGGAGTAAAGGGGTCTGAATACAAATGCATGCTACATTTTCCAGATATTATTTGTAAAATATTTTGAAAACCGTTTTCCTTCCTTTTATGCCACTTTGTGTTGATTTATCACATAAAATACATTTACATTTTTGGTTGTAACATGACAAAATGTGGAAAATTTCAAGGGGTATGAATACTTTTTCAAGACACTCTACAGGCCTAGTGTACCCATCCACTTTCACTACAATTCCCTGTGGGTGATGGGAACTGTAGTTTCCTTTTACTGCAGAGAGAGGAGAGGAAATTATGTAATCCCGGCTGTTACACCTCCTGCTTGGCAGAACAGATACTTTTATCTTTTGAATTACGGAGACGAGGTCATGAAAACGCAATTAGACTTTTCTCCCAAATGGTAAAGATTTAAAAAATGTTATTAACCGTTTAGTTTTTTTTGTGTAGGGAGTGTACTAATAGATGATTATTTTGCTTATCCCGGAGTTGTTCTTTAAAGCACCTGACAAGTTTTTTGTTTTTTTTTAATATTAACACTGATCAAAATAGAATAAAGTCTTGGTTGTCATTTAAAAAAAGGATATATGTATCACTTTGTGATCGTAAGTAATGATCATTTATTGCTAAATTAAGGGACCCAAAGCAGAAGTGTAAAAATTGCAGGGAGCTGATAGATAGATAGAAATGAGCAAGTGCATTGTAAGGACTACGCAGGGGCAAACTGACAACTCATAGGGCCCCCGGGCAATAGGGGATCATGGGGCCCCTGTGTCCTTGCCCAAACTCAAAAAAGCCTATGAAAAAGGTACCAGGAGCATCTCATGGGGCCCCCTACTGACCCCGGGCCCTCGGGCACTGCCCGAGTTTCCAAATGGTCAGTCCACCCCTGGGACTACGTTTTCCTTTAGGAAATAGGGTGCATAGGAACATGCTGCATGTTGCACCCTAAATATGGGTGTAACATGTTCCAAAAGGTGAACCTAACATTAAGGGTTTCTAGGAATACCCCCTTATATATAGCAACAGAACTTAACCTCTTGCCGACCGCGCATAGCCAAATGACGGCTTCACCGCGGCCGGCCAGTTCTGAGTGGACGTCATATGACGTCCTCCCAGAACGCGCTCTCCTGCGCGCCCCAGGGGGTGCGCACCCGGCGATCTCCGTGATCGCTGTGTCCTACGGACACAGCTGATCACGTGATGTGGTGAAAGGCCGATCCCACCGGCCTTTTACCACGTGATCAGCGGTGTCCAATGACACGCTGATCACAGGGAAATGCAAGTGCCGGTTCTCGGCTGCACTTTCCTCACGCTGTCAGATCGTGAGGAAAGTACTGCCGAGAACCGGCAGTTGTCAGAGCGGGGATCGGCACCGATCATCAGGGCACTGATGATCAGTGCCCTGATGATCGGTGCCCAGCAGTGACACCCGCAAGTTCCGCCCAGCAGTGCGCCCACTAGCCCCGCCCACCCGTTCCCAGCAGTGCCCCCACCTGTGCCCAGCAGTGCACCCACCTGTGCCACTCTGCAGTGCCACCTACCTGTGCCCAGAAGTGCCACCTACATGTGCCCAGCAGTGTCACCCACCTGTGCGCACCCACCAGTGCCACCCACCTGTGCCCACCCACCAGTGCTGCCCAGCAGTGCTGCCAGTCAGTGCCACCAGTCAGTGCCCAGGGGTTGTGCCAGTCAGTGCCGCCAGTCAGTGCCCAGAAGTGATGCCAGTCAGTGCCGTCTATCAGTACCCATCATCAGTGTCACCTATCAGTGCCACCTATCAGTGCTGCATATCAGTGCCGCCTATCCGTGACCCCTAATTAGTGCTGTCTATCAGTGCCGCCTATCCGTGCCACCTCATTAGTACTGCCTATCAGTGCCCTTTAGTGCTGCCTATCAGTGCCCATCAGTGCCGCCTATCAGTGCCCATCAGTGCCGCCTCATCAACGCAAATCAGTGAAGGAGAAAAAATACCTGTTTGAAAAATTTTATAAAAGAAACAAATAAACTTTTTTTTTTTTTTTCAAATTTTTTGCACTTTTTTTAATTTATAGCGCAAAAAGTAAAGCGCCCAGTGGCAATTAAATACCACCAAAAGAAAGCTCTATTTGTGAGAAAAGAATGATCAAAATTTCATATGGGTACAATGTTGCATGACCGCGCAATTGTCAATCAAAGTGCGGCAGCGCTGAAAGCTGAAAATTGGCCTGGTAAGGAAGGGGGTATAAGTGCCTGGTAGGCAAGTGGTTAAAGAGTAACTCCACAAAAAACTAAAAAAAAAACTAAATTCCTCTCCTAGGTCATCAAAGTACATTGCAGGGATTTTAATAAATGTTATTTCTGATTCCTACCTTTTGTTCAGAAGAAAGAGCTGTTTTTCGGTTCTGTGTCCATGTGTAGAGTGAATCTGTATAGGTGGTTTCATTCGCAATCGGCTGCTGCGCCTGTAGGGCTATGAGTAAAGTGGCAGGGTCTGCGTCCCTTTTTACACATGTTTTCACTCTCACCAAAAATGACATTTTTGTTTTTAGGGGATGCCAAAAATCTGTATTTTAGTACAGACTTCTGGGAAAATCAGTGAGCCAATCAGACCAGTAAGAAATTACATTTCTGGGGTGTGTTCTGTACACCATCTGTGTACAGAATGCCTCCCCATAGCCATATTAAACTGCATTTTACAGAAAATGACAGTTCTGCAAATTAAAAAGGAGAGGTCATTTTTGATAACATTCAATTACAATATGATTTGTCGCATTGGTGTATACTATATTAATTTGCTGTTTTTTCCCCCACAAAAGTGGTTACCCTTTTAGCTTAGTTTTACTCTCCTTTTCTTTTGCCTTTTTATGATTTTTTTTTTTTTTTTTTGGCTTTATTTCGATGGACTCAGAACTACGAACTTCTGTGAACAGTTATTAGTTTTTATCATCAAATCGTGCTTTTAGTGTAACATTTACTCTTTAACAATCTCTGCATGTCTTGCTTTGTCTCCTTTCAGCTGTATTACCATGGGGAAGCCATCAATGTAAATGTCCACGTGACCAACAACTCCAGCAAAACAGTCAAGAGGGTGAAAGTGTCCGGTATGTGATGTATAAGTTTGCCTTTGTCCCAGTAATTTGTGAGCGAATTCTTCCAAAGTTATTATTGATTTATAATGAATTGCTAGGCTTCAATTTTGTGACCGCTCTAATGCCCATGTTATGGATATCTGGTACAGGAGACACGGTCCGACAATCGGAAGCAGTGCTCGCATTCAAGAGCCGTTTATGGTCAGCCTAATCCGAAAAGCTGGTCATACACTGAACGAAATTCTACCTGTTCAGCAGGGACCACCCAAACTTCGATCAGTGTGTGGCCTCCCAAACTTAACCATTTGACGCCCGGCCTATGGCCAAATGGCATCCGCAAAAGTGCATTAACTTTCCAAGAGGCCGCCATATGGCGTCCTCCCGCACATGCGCAGTTCGCGCGCTTGCAGAGCCGCGCAGCGGTGCGATCTGTCACCGGCCGTGTACCTCGGACACGGCCGATGACCGATCTGAGTACCGGCCCCCGTTGCCGTACCATGTGACCTGCTGTGACCAATCACAGCAGGTCACATGACAGTTGTATACAATGGATGGCTTCATTCATGCCATCCATTGTATACTAAGGCCTAGCTGTGAATGGTCACAGCAGGTCACATACACATGTCATGTGATTAGCTGTGGCCAAATCACAGCTAAGCACAAAAAAAAAAAAAAAAGCCCTGAATGAATCGATGCCATTCAGGTAAATGCTTGCTTATAGCAAAGTAATTCTTTGCTATAAGCAAATTGTGTAAAAAAAAAAATAAAAATAAAAAAAAAATAAAATAAAATACCGATCACTTTCCCAAAGTAGTACAATGTTACTATGGTAACATTGTACTACTTTGGACATAGTGAAATATGAAAAAAAAAATCTTAAAAAAAAGAAAACAAATTTAATAAAAAATTTAAAATAAAAAAAAAATATATATATATTTTTTTTTTTCACACTGTCACCAGTCAGTGTCCCTGATCACCGCCATGCCAGTTATATGATGACGCTGTACTGCACTGGTGACAGTATGTAAAAAACAAATAGTGAAAATTATTTTTTTTATTTTTTATTTTCCTAAAAATTATGACAAAAAAAATACGACTTCAAAAAACTCGCCATTCCTCTTATGAAGTACGTCGGACTGTCTACTTTGCAAAAAGGGGTCATTTGGGGGATATCTGTACTGTTCTGACATTCTTGGACCTCAAGAAATTAGATTGGCTGTCAGTACTTCAGGATTGATCAATATTCAGATCTATCCCATAGTTTGTGAACTCTATAACTTTCCTACAAACTAAATAATACATCCTAATTTGGGTTATTTTCACCAAAGACATGTAGCAGAATACATCTCGGCCTAAATTTATGAAGAACAATTATTTATTTGCAAACTTTTATAACAGAAACAAAGAAAAACGTGGGTTTTTTTTTTCAAAATTTTTGGTCTTTTTTTGTTAATTTAGCAAAAAATAAAAAAAATAAAAATTTTAGTTTGGGTACAATGTTGTATGACCGCGCAATTGTCATTCAAAGTGTGAGAGCGCTGAAACCTGAAAACTGGCCTGGGCAGGAAGGTGTAAAATTGCCCGGTATTGAATTGGTTAATAGAAGTCGATTATTTAATCAACCTCTGTTGAAGGGACATGTCGGAAATTTTTTTTTTGAGAATCAGTGGCTGCAGCCGCCAATCAGTGTGTTCTGACAGGTACAGGTGCAACATTCAGCATGCTTTGACAGGTACAGGTACAACAATCGGCATGCAATGTCCCTGTGATGGTAAGGGGTGGGGAGGGAATTTCCCTGCTGAACAGGAAAAAAAATAGATGTATGGCTAGCCTAAGGCTGGCCATACATTATACAATTATCTGGAGATTTTTGGTTTAGATTTACCAAAAACCGTGTAATAGGAGGACAAACCTAAACAACACTTTCAGTTGTATCCAATTAGGCGGGCCCTTGCACTACATAGTTGAAGGTAAATCTAAAGGAAATTGGGCAGAAAATCTCCAGATAATTGTATAATGTATGGCTAGCCTAAGTCTAGGTTCACACTGGATTTTGGCCGCAGCACCCGTGTATGTAAAGTTTACATGCATTTTTCCAAGTGTGTTTTTTCCACATTTTATGAAAGCGCACCAAAAGTCCTGCATGCTGCATCTTTGCTGTGCTTTCAGAAAGTGCCTAAGTGAACTTAACTCAGCAGATCCTGTTTCTACTTCCGGACCAGCGGCATACCCGTACATCGCTGGACTGTTGGTGGTTATATCGGAGTGATGCCTGCTCCAGTGTTTTTAACCACTTCCAGTCCGGACACTTTCACCCCCTTCCTGTCCAGGCCAATTTTCAGCTTTCAGCGCTATCACACTTTGAATGACAATTGCGCGGTCATGCAACACTGTACCCATATGAATTTTTTAGCATTTTCTGAGACAGATAAAACTTTATTTTGGTGTTCTTTATTCACCACTGGAATTTTTATTTTTTTGCTATGTAAATGAAAAAAGTCCAAACATTTTGAAAAAATTAGTTTTTCTTATAAAATTTTGGAAATAAATAGTATTTCATCATAAATCTTGGCCAAAATGTATTCCGTTATCTTTTTAGTAAACAAAAAAAAAATAACCCAAATTAGTTTGTAACCAAACATTATAATTTTTAAACCTTTTTTTTTTTTTTTTTTTTTTTTTTTAATATTTTTATTTATTATTTTTTTTTTTTTTTTTTTTTTTACAAACTGTCACCCTAGCAGAACATGGTGGGGGGTGATGAAGATTTTTTTTTTTTTTTTACACTGATTGCTTTTACACCCATAAAGGCTGTAAAAGCAATCATTTCTCCTTCCCTCTAGCTGCATTCTTGCATCCATTGAGAAATACTGTGTTGGCTGTGATTGGTCACAGCTTGTCACATGGTACAAGGCTGTTCTGAATAGCCTTGTACCACGTGACCTCTGTGATCATTCACAGATTTCACACGTAGTAAACAATGATGTCAGAAGTGACATCTTGCTTACTACTCTGCATGTGATCACTGATTGGTCAGTCAGTGATCACATGATCGGGACCTCACACAGAGGTCCCGTCCGACGATCGGTGTTCCACTGTGTCCGGGGTGCGGCCACCCGACCCTTCACTGCCACCGTCAGGCCATTTATATACAACGGCCGGACGGGAAGTGGTTAAAGCCGGCAGTCGGCTCTCTTGTAGAAGTAGTTGGAGCGGCTAACTAGCCACAGTCCCACCGGGAGTCCCAAGCGACCAGCCGGCACATCTGTTGGCTGGCCGGACAGCTGAACAAATCCAGAGTCGGCTTTGATCAGCTCTCCCTTATAGTAAACCGGAAGCGACGACCTGACATCCCTTCTTGTTTACTCTGAAACTATCGACCTTTTTATTTATTTATTTATTTATTTTTTCTAATCTGAAAGCATTCAAAAACACCAATCTTGGTGCTTTCAAGTTCAGAGGAGGGATTTGGGGTCTTATATACCCCGGATCCCCTCCATAAAGAGTACTTTGTACCGGTCACGTGTCTATAGCAGTAAAAGTGATCACAGAGAAAAAAAATTAAGGTAACAGTGTAAAAAAAAAAAACAAAAAAAATTAAGTGCCCCTGCCCCCCTTGCTTGTGTGCAAAAGCAAATGCGTGTATCAGTCCTGCACACACTCAAACAGTGATCGTCCCACACATCTGGGGTATTGCCGCAAACGTCCGATCATGGGCAGTAATTCTAACACCAGAACTCCTCTGTAAATCTAAAGTGGTAATCTGTGAAGGCTTTTAAATCATCGCATATGAGTAGTAAAATTTACATAGTTTGTTGCTGTTGCATGGGCATGCGCAATTTTAAAGCGTGACATGTTTGGTGATATACTTTAGCTTTACCCACCCATTAAAGTGATAATGAAAGCTCAGTTGCTTTTTTTTTATTACAATCATGGCATATTTTCCTGCTCTAATGGTTTTGCACAGAGCAGCCCTGATCCTTGTCTTCTCTGGTCCCCCACCAGCGCTCCTGGCTCCTCCCCCTTTTAGCCACTTGCTGGAGGGGGACTCGCGTGGGCATAGACACAGACAGCGGGGCTTTGCCCTTTCCCTCGGTCCCTCCCCACTGGTTGTGATTGGCAGCAGCTGGAGCCAATGGCTCCAATTGCTGCGGTGTCTGAGCCAATGAGGAGGCAGAGAGTCGGGACAGCTGGGATGTTGGATCGGGTCAGATAAGTATTGGGGGGGCTGAGGGGAAAGCTGCATAATGAAGGTTTTTCTACCTTAATGCATAGAATACATCAAGGTAAAAAAAAAAAAATAACCTTCAGCACTTTCAACTACTTTACCCGCCTCCCGTCCGCCATATAAGGTAATGACGGGCGCAAGGCGGTTCTCTCCTTCTGGGAGGACGTCATATGACGTCCTCCCACTCTAACCGCGCGCGCGCGGCTCCGGGAGCACTGTGTCCCTCGGACACAGCAGATCACCGATCAACGGAAAGAGCCGAAGATGTCGGCTCGGTCATGTGATCAGCTGTGTCCAATCACAGCTGATGCATGTAAATAGGGAAATGCCTGTTATCGGAATTTCTCTCCTCACGAGCTGTCACACTGACAGAGGAGAGCCGGTAATCGGTATTCCTCAGAGGGGACATGTACACTGATCATCAGGGCACTGATGATCAGTATGCCCTGATGATCAATGTAGCCCCAGCAATGCCACCTGTCAGTGTCCATCAGTGCCTGATGTCAGTGCCTCGTGCCAGCGCCCATCAGTGCCACCTGTCAGTGTCCATCAGTGCCTACCAGTGCACATCAATGCCATATATCAGTGCCCATCTGAGCTGCCTTTCAGTGCCACCTATCAATGCCAGTTAGTGTCACCTATCAGTGCTGCCTATCAGTGCTCATCAGTGCCGCCTAACAGTGCCATATATGAGTGCTGCCTTTCAGTGCCCATCAGTGATGCCTGTCAATGCCCATCAGTGCCACCTACCAGTGCCTCCTCATCCGTGCAGCCTATCGGTGCCCATCACGGCAGCCTCATTAGCGCACATCAGTGATTGAGAAAAATCACTTATTTACAAAATTTTAAAACTCTAAAACTAATTTTCAGTTGTTTTTGGTTTGTTTAGCAAAAAATAAAAAACTCAGAGGTGAATAAATACCACCAAAAGAAAGCTCTATCTGTCTCAAAAAAATGATAAAAATCTCATATGGGTATAGTGTTGCATGACCGTGCAATTGTCATTCAAAGTGCGACAGCGCTGAAAGCTGAAAATTGGCCTCGGCAGGAAGGGGATATAAGTGCCCTGTAGGCAAGGGGTTAAAGTGTACCTAAACACGAGAAACAAAAACAACAAATATATTGCCCCTTTCAAGTCCTTAGATGTCCTGGTATTTGCCAAGAAGGGGATTATCTATGATATGTGACGTATCAAAGTGTTGAAATGAAAAAGGAAGTGCTTGTAGTTTTCTGACTAATAGGTTATTTTTGGAATGTGTGAAATGTCTAAAAGACTACCATAGTGGTAGGAATACAAGGTCCTGCAACATAAAAATGCGTGTGCTCAGTCCTAACTCTGTGTGTTTTTCTTCCCTGCAGTCCGGCAGTACGCAGACATCTGCCTGTTCAGCACAGCACAGTACAAGTGTCCAGTCGCTCATATTGAACAAGAGTGAGTCCTGCATCTCCTACTCGTATCACCTCGATTCTCTGCACACACATTGGGGGGAATTTATAAAGCTTCCTTCACCGTTCTAATGGTGCAGGGAACTAGCGCGGGTGGCAGGTGCCGTATTAACATGGCAGATAGAGCTGTTTCAGGCCTAGAAGTGCCAGCCATGCCCGTTTCTATTTGAGTGCAGTAGAAATAGGCATGGGTTCCAGCCTAATTAACAAGGGTATCACCGCAGTTTTCAGTATAGAGAATTTACTCAGAACCCCACCAGATTGGACATGGTGTCTCTGATATGAACTGAGACCACTCACATCCTGTCTGCCTATGCAGTGGATACATTACATTATTATTATTATTATACAGTGTTTATATAGCGCCAAAAAGTTTGCTCAGCGCTGTACATTATAGTAGGAGACAGTACATCGAGACAATACAATACATGAGGGGTTCAAGGGCCCTGCTCTTTCGAGCTTACAATCTAGGAGGGAGGGGATAGTGGTACAGGAGGAGTGGCTGTGGGGGGGTGGAGTGGTAGGAGGAGTGGAGGAGATCGGCTGTTAGGTGAGGGTAGGCTTCCCTGAAGAGATGGGTTTTCAGGATGTGCCTAAAGATGAGGAGAGTAGGTGACAGTCTGATGGATTGGGGTAGTGAGTTCCAGAGGATGGGGGAAGTCCTGGAAAAGTCCTGTAGTCGGGCATGGGAGGAGGAGACCAGGAAGCTAGAAAATAGGAGGTCTTGTGAGGAGCGAAGCGTACGGGATGGGTGGTATTTGGATATCAGGTCGGTGAGGTTGTTTGAGGCAGCGTTATTAATGGCTTTGTATGTCAGTGTTAGAAGTTTGAATTTTATGCGTTGGACATTTGGAAGCCAATGGAGGGAATGACAGAGGGGGGTGGCAGAAGAGGAGCGGTTGGTGAGGTGGATGAGTCTGGCCGCTGAGTTCAGGATAGACTGAAGCAGGGATAGTCTGTGATGAGGTAGGCCGGAGGGAGTTGCAGTAGTCCAGACGTGAGATAATAAGGGAGTGAACGAGTAGTTTAGTAGTGTCTGGGGTTAGGAACGAATGTATTTTGGAGATGTTGCAGAGGTGGAGCCTGCAGGAGTTTGCCAGCGATTGGACATGAGGTAGGAAGGGCAGGTTTGAGTCTAGAGTGACACCTAGGACTTTGGCTTTGACTTTGGACTTTGGCTTAGGACATGGCAGAACCTGCATATAGGCAGAGATGGGAGCTTTTCCTGCCTATATGTTAGCTCTGCCATGTAGTGTGTTCTCTGGGCGGACAGAGAGAGGCATGCAAGCTTTCTCTGCCAGGTAACCCCTGGATGTTAGCCCAGGAAAATGCAGTCAACAGCTTTTCTCCTCCTCCTTTTCAGCTGGGGAGGGAGGGGGCTGAGATTCTGGGCAGATGGAGTTGCAGTAAGCAGCTCTAGCTGGGCTTTCTATGCTGTGTCTGGAGACAAGTCAAGATATGGCCTAGAAAACGAAGCTGGTTGTTCCAGATTAACAAAGGGGCATGTTGTCCCTTTCTTAATAAAAAGCAGGATCTGCTCCTCTGTTTTCTCCTTTTAGTAAAGTGGCGCAGGCTTTATGCTTGCACCGCTCTTTGTTAAATTCTGTCCCTCCTCCCGCCCCAACCCCGAACAATTGTCACCTCTCGATAGTCTGCATTCTGCCTGTCCACTTTGCCTTTGTTTTCTTCTTTATGATCCTGATATAGGAGTAGTAGGCAAGTAAACTTTTATCACTGGATGTAGTAGACGTTTTCATACCCATATTCAGTATGCATAAGAGAGCAGTGCTAAAGCCAGAACCCTTTCCAGGGGTGCTCAACCTTTTGAAGATTGAGGGTCACTTAAGTGATTTGGTGACCAGTCGTGGGCCACAAGGAAATGGTACCAAATTTTAGAATTTTTTTATTTTTAATAGCAAAATTAACATTTTCCTCCCGCACCTTCTGAATGCCACTGGGAGCTGGCTTTCAGCGGTCGCTGGAGGAAAATGGAGAGGATCGGCTCCTATATATGCCACCCCTCCTGTCCAAGTGTAAAACAGAATGTGGCAGGGTGGCCACAAAAGCTTCTTGGAGCATGAGGCGGGGCCACCATTGCGACTCCTGACACTACACCAGTGGTTGGGGGCTGTGGTAAAAATGCGACTCAACTATGGGGTTTTATGCCCCCCCCCTCAAAACCGTGAATGTAAATGACCCCATACTGTCCTGAGCCTCCTATAAGGCTGCTTACACACCGACTGTGCTGCGATGTACTGGCTGCGCAGTGCACCTGTGGCTTTCCTGCTGGTTAGCTATGCTTTGCCATAGACTTCTATTATATCTTGTAGGTGTGGTGCACTTTCAGAATGCGCACTAAACCCGCACTTCTGTGGTTTGAGATTGAGGGTCACAGGTTGAGCACCCCTGCCTTAGACAGTCCTAAAATATACCGATATATAAAATCGGTAACGTAGCATACCAATATAGCAATTCATATATAAAATCGGTAAGGTAGCATACCAATATAATTTAAAATGAACAGTGTAGCGCTAACAATACTAAAAAATACGTGAATATGTGATTAATATACACAAACTAAATACATATAAAACCATCCCCTTAATGTACACATGGGGAAGATTTACAAAAATAAATCAATAGATAGTGTCATGCGTGAATTCCCTCTCATAGGGAATATCCAGTGCACAGGGTGAAAATATACAACCCTAATTAAATAATGTGAAAAAAAAAAAAAAAAAAAAAAACACACACTAGTGCACATCAACTGTGAACAAATAATTAGTTCCAAAATATCAAAAAATACGATGCTTATAGTGGTCCTCCCACTTCACTCTTCATGCAAATATCGTGCTGTGTGCGTGATTCACACGTGCCAATCCTTCAACATCCGAAATGCCCCCTCACCTCCTTACTTAGACCCCACAGGGCCAGCTCGCTTTAGGGATCAACCGATCCTGTAAGAACAGATTCCTCTCAGGAATTCCCCTCACTGATAGTCTGGTGAAGGCTGGAGACGCTTACCATCAGTGAGGGGAAATCCTGAAAGGAATCTGTTCTTACAGGATCGGTTGATCCCTAAAGCGAGCTGGCCCTGTGGGGTCTAAGTAAGGAGGTGAGGGGGCATTTCGGATGTTGAAGGATTGGCACGTGTGAATCACGCACACAGCACGATATTTGCATGAAGAGTGAAGTGGGAGGACCACTATAAGCATCGTATTTTTTGATATTTTGGAACTAATTATTTGTTCACAGTTGATGTGCACTAGTGTGTGTTTTTTTTTTTTTTTTTTCCACATTATTTAATTAGGGTTGTATATTTTCACCCTGTGCACTGGATATTCCCTATGAGAGGGAATTCACGCATGACACTATCTATTGATTTATTTTTGTAAATCTTCCCCGATGTGTACATTAAGGGGATGGTTTTATATGTATTTAGTTTGTGTATATTAATCACATATTCACGTATTTTTTAGTATTGTTAGCGCTACACTGTTTATTTTAATTGTTTCATCTACTTATTGGGTGTAAGGTTAGTGTCAGCAGCTTTTGAGGGCAAGACTCCATTTAAGCGCAGGAGGTTTTTTTCCATCTTATTAGCATACCAATATAGCATTTAATATATAAAATCGGTAAGGTAGCATACCAATATAGCATTTAATATATAAAATTGCACAGTTTCACTAAGCTTACAGTACAATATAATGATATGACAGACCAAGTATATCATCCCACACTATAGTCTCACCACCGTTCATGAATTGGCTGTCCTTTTCTATCTCTCAGTCTCCCTACTTTCTCTTCCTCTGTCCCCCTCTGCCGTATCTATCTCTTTTTTTGTTCCCTCCTTTCTCTTTCTGTTTTCTTTTTTTCTCTCTGATTGCAAGTAGAGTAGTTATGGGTTGGATGGAGTAAGTCCCAGGATGGAGTAAGTCCTAGGACAATATTAGTGGTAAAGGATAATACAAATGTAATAGGAGGCAGGTTAAAGAAATAGAGTAATAGAGGATGAGTCTATGTAGGGGATTCACAATTTTTCATGTCCCCCTTTTTTTTTCTTTTTACTCTGTCCTCTGCAGCACTGTCTCCCCTCTTCTTCTCACTGTCACTCTATATGCTTTTTTTTTTTTCATTTCATTTTCTTCCCCATTTATCTCTTCCTACTCCTTTCCTGCTGGCTCTTTTGCACTCTCCTAATCACTTTTTTTTTTTTTTTTTTTTTTTTTTTTATATATGCCTCCAGTGACCAGGTGGCGGCCAGCTCTACATTCTGTAAAGTTTACACTCTGACTCCACTTCTGTCTAATAACCGGGAGAAGCGGGGTCTGGCCTTGGATGGAAAACTGAAGCATGAGGACACCAACCTAGCATCAAGCACCATGTACGTGTGGTATTATTTAGATTAGGATACGCTTGTTGATACATCTCCTATGGTTTAACCTCGGTTTCTGCTCATGTGTTATAGTGTGAAGGAGGGATCCAGTAAAGAAGTGCTGGGAATCCTCGTCTCCTACAGAGTAAAAGTTAAACTGGTGGTGTCCCGTGGAGGGTAAGTAGGACTCATGGTAAACAGATGTAGTAGTAGTGTGTTGGTATAGGCCGTGCCATTACAGATTCTGACATTCTGCCTCTCCAGGGATGTGGCGGTGGAGCTTCCTTTTGTCCTCATGCATCCAAAACCCCCAGAGCCAGCGCCAAGACCTATATCCGGTAAGTGGGTTAAGGGATTGTAATTACTGACCCTAAAAATAAAAATCTGTATACCCTCCCTCTAGGTTCTGACACCGGTTGATACTGGGTACTGTGATGCCAGCTGCAACAGAAGGAGTGGCGGTGGGCCGGGGATTCATTGGGGGGGGGGGGGGGGGGGGGGGGGGGTTCGCCTCAATGGGCAAAATGATTGCCTCCTTTCATCGTGATCTCTATACATGATAACACAGATTGTAACTTCTGTGTTCATGAAATCATATTCAGAAACGTTCAGATCAGGGCTGCCATAAATCAGGAATAACAAACCCTGTCTCTGTAGATTGGATTACACCTGGCTAATTCTTTTAAAACGCTAAAAGAGTTACAATAGAATTTGACCCGTACTACTATATGTTCCTTGTAAAGCAGAGCTCCTAGAATTCAGCAAATGTATAAAATGTACAGGCATACGATGTGTTAAGTTAAATGAGCTGCTACCACTTCATGGATTTATCTCTCCAATTTACATCTGACAGTGGAGCTTTGGGAGAACAGCTATCGATAGCTATGTATCCAGAGCTCCGACACTGGGCCTTCTGGTCTCAGTTCCTCCAGCTGCAGAGTCGCATGCTGCTGCCTGCTGTGCCTGCCCCTTCCCTCTGTTCCTGCCCAATCATAGAGCACATTATATTATAGGAACACATTCGTAAAATACAAAGGCTCCTGTGAATGGGCAGAGAGGGGCAGGCAGAGCTTCTCTATGAGAAGACCGCATCTCTCCTCTCAGAGCCCCTATCGTTCTGGAGCTCCATAAAACTGTCAGATGTAAATAAGCGTTAAGTCAAGGAGGTGGAGTCTATTGGACATAGTGGTTCTAAAAGCAGAATTTTGGATTTTGCCTTAATGCATTAAGGTAAAAAAAACCTTCCACTATCTGTCTATGGATCCAAGGATTTCATCCCGATAACTAATGGCAGTCAGGGTGGCTTTGTCTAGCCTGTAGATGTCTGTGCTTCCCTCCATGGATATGCCTCCCCAGACCCATCAAAACGGTCATGCTGAACCATGTTACAGGCAGCATAATGTTCTCCACGGCTTCTCTAGCCCCTTTCACATCTGTCACATGTGCTCAGGGTAAACCTGCTCTCATCTGTGAAAAGCACAGGGCGCCAGTGGTGGACCTGTCAATTCTTGTGTTCAATGGCAAATGCCAGTCGAGCTCTGTGGTGCTGGGCAGTGAGCACAGGGCCCACTAGAGGACGTCGGGCCCTCAGGCCACCCTCATGAAGTCTGTTTCTGATTGTTTGGTCAGAGACATTCACAGTGGCTTGCTGATGCTTCTGCGGCCCTGTCCAGCACTCCTAGAGTAACTGCCTGTCTCCTGGAATCTCCTCCATGCTCTTGAGACTGTGCTGGGAGACACAGCAAACCTTCTGGCAATGGTACGTATTTATGTGCCATCCTGGAGAAGTTGGACTGCCTGTGCCACCTCTGTAGGGTCCAGGTATTGCCTCATGCTACCAGTAGTGACACTGACCCTAGCCAAATGCAAAACTAGTGAAAAACAGTCAGAAAAATGTCAGTGGCCTCCACCTTTAAAACCATTCCTGTTTTGGGGGTTGTCTCATTGTTGCCCATCTAGTGCACCTGTTGCTAATTCCATTATCACCAAAGCAGTGAAACTGATTAACAGCCCCCTCTGCTACTTACCTGACCAGATCAATATTCCAGGAGTTTCATTAACTTGATGTTATACTCTGATTAAAAAGTGTTTCTTTAATTTTTTTGAGCAGTGCATTTGTGTTCTTGGGTTTAGTTACACATTTAGTTTGTATGAACAATCCCTATCTGCTTCTTACATGCTTGATCTCTTTTTGCTTTCCAGAGTTCCCTCAGTCAGATGTGCCTGTTGACACAAATCTCATAGAATTTGAAACAAAGTAAGTTCACACTTTATTGGTTTATGTTTTCAGTGGTCACAGGTTTCACTGGCTGGAAAGATTTCATTGGTCCTCCAAGACCAGAGAGTGACTTTTTTCAAAATTAGCCATCTCTCCGCAATGCTTGGCTAAAGTGACGGTACAACCATAGAGATTACAGAGAGAAGGGATTAAAGAAAGAGTCTCCCAACCCAAATTAGTGTGTAGCACAGTAAAGCCTTCTTAAAATAGAAGGTAATCCCATTGCTCATCCCATCACATACCCCCCAAAAAAACAAAAAAGGGGTGTGTTTATTGCTTTTTTCAGGACAGTGGACAAAGCCAGAGCTGCTGGTTTATAGTACAATTTTATAGCCTACTATTATCCACTTGCCGACTGCAATACGTGTCTATATACGTTGCAGCTTGTAAGTGGTTTACTGGGGTTATGGCTGATCATTTTTTTTTTTTTTTTTTTTAGCAAGTGATTTTTCTCTTTCCTGAAAGTGATCCGAGTGGCTAATTAGCTACTGGATCGCTTTCAGAAGCAGCGGGAGGGGTTTTCCCCTGCCGGTGTCTTGGGGGGGGGGGGTTACCAGCGAGCCTGGGAAACAATCTGATTGTTCACATGCCTGCCTATAGAGGTGAACAGAGACCAGATTGTCTCTGATCTCTTCTATGATCTTGGTGGACCGGAGCAGTGCCATGACGCTTTTAAAGGTAGCGGAGAGATTTGGGGTCCCGTAGACCCCCTAGATCTCTCCATAAAGCAGACCTGTCATTTCTTATTTCTATTACAAGGGATGCTAACATTCCTTGTAACAGGAATAAAAATGATCAGAAAAAAAAATAAATTAAAGGGACAGTGTAAAAATATAATAATAAAAAATAAGCACCCCCATCCTTCCACGCTCGTGCGCAGAAACGAACGCATATGAAAGTCGCTCATGCATCTTTAACGGTGTTTGCGGCAAATGTGAGGTATCGCCACAGACGTTAGAGCGAGAGTAATATTTATTGCACTAGACCTCCTCTGTAACTCTAAACGCGTAACCTGTGAAAGTTTTTAAAGCATGTTCAAGGACAAGTATTGTAGTTTGTTGCCATTCTATGAGCATGCACAATTTTAAAGTGTGAGATGTTGGGTATCTATTGACTCAGACGTAGCATCCTCTTTTATGTTTTACCAAAAAATTGGGTTATATATTGTGGATGGGGGGGGGGGGGGGGAAGGTTGCATTAAAATTCATTAAAGTGAGTATTTTTTTTTTCTAAAAAAGAAAAAAAAAAAAAAGAATTGCAATCCAAGTAATTTTCTAGAAAAAAAATACAGATTTTTACTTGTGAACAAAAAGTGCCAGAAAAGGCCTGGTCTTCAGGTGGTTATAAAGCCATTTATTCCAAACTGCATTCAGCTGTTTCAGGCTTTTTGACCATTGTCCGTACAGGGTGTGGAGACCTGTGACTACTTAGAGTAGGTCTTAGGACCCAAAGAGAATTGTGCAAACAAGACGAATCCCTCAATCTCCTGTCCATGACAGGAGCCGTCCTCGCCTGGGCCAGTTCCTTGTTGGTCTTCAGGTCCCTGGCATATTTACTGTGGGAAGCCGGCTGTGATTCCTTGTGGCTTCCCACTGTGCAGGGGCTTTGTCAATGGTTCTGCAGCCTTCTGGGACCTATGATGTGTTTCAGGAGGTCGTGGGCAGCAAGGGGCCAGGGGGAACTTCTGGTCGGATTGCCGTGGCGATTCCAGCAGAAGTGGGAGCAGGTACCTGTCAAAACCGAGGGGGGGGGGGGGGGGGGGGGGAGAAGAAGATTCCCTGGAGGAGGGCATAAAGCAGAGTTTACTCTATAGGGTGAAGTTCTGCTTTAAGCCTGTTCTTTCTTCATGTTTGCAATGCAGTAGGTTCCTTTACCACCTCCAGCCCTAGAACCTCATGCTTTTCTATCCTCTTCCTACCCAAGTCCTGTATAAGGTAGTCCATACATTAGTCAGTTTTTTTTTTTTTTTTGCAAATTCAGCCAGTGGGTTAAACAGAAAAACTGACCTGATTCCCCCCTCTCCGCACATTCAAGGTGGATGGGGGAATCCTCCTGCTATGCTTTGTATTCTAACAGCAGGGAGACTTCCCCACCATCAGAATACACTGATCAGCGCTGCATTCTATAGTCTGCGGCGTTGATTGAGCAGGGAACGTCCGACACAGTGCTTGTACAGAAATCAATCAGTAGATCAACTTCTGTACAAACACAGTGCCCATACAAAAATCGAAATTCATCCGGTTCCTGCGTAACCAGCCAAACTTTGATCATGTATGGCCAGCTTCAGCCCTGAGTCAGTCTTACAGCTATGTAAGAGGTTGCTCGTGTTCCTGCCTATATTGGAGCAGCCATAGCGCACCCCCTTTCTGTTGGCCTGAAGAGGGATGTGTATATGTATGCTTGGCAGCCTCGCTGAGTGCAGTAGAAAGAGAGAGATATAGATAGATATATATATATATATATATATATATATATATATATATATATATATACACACATACAGTGGGGATCGAAAGTTTGGGCACCCCAGCTAAAAATTTGTATTAATGTGCATAAAGAAGCCAAGGAAAGACAAGAGTCAACAAGAGTTAGATTTTATTTCCATCATTTACACTTTCAAAATAACAGAAAAAAACAAAAAAATGGCGTCTGCAAAAGTTTGGGCACCCTGCAGAATTTATAGCATGCACTGCCCCCTATGCAAAGCTGAGACCTGCCAGTGTCATGGATTGTTCTCAATCATCGTCTGGGAAGACCAGGTTATGTCAATCTCAAAGGTTTTAAATTCCCAGACTCATCTGACCTTGCCCCAACAATCAGCACCATGGGTTCTTCTAAGCAGTTGTCTAGAAAACTGAAACTGAAAATAGTTGATGCTCACAAAGCTGGAGAAGGCTATAAGAAGATAGCAAAGCGTTTTCAGATGTCAATATCCTCTGTTCGGAATGTAATTAAGAAATGGCAGTCATCGGGAACAGTGGAAGTTAAAGCAAGATCTGGAAGACCAAGAAAAAAAAATATCAGACAGAACAGCTCGCAGGATTGTGAGAAAAACAATTGAAAACCCACGTTTGACTGCACGATCCCTCCAGAAAGATCTGGCAGACACTAGAGTTGTGGTACACTATTCCACTATAAAGAGATACTTGTACAAATATGGTCTTCATGGAAGAGACATCAGAAGAAAACCTCTTCTACGTCCTCACCACAAAAATCATCGTTTGAACCTTGCAAATGAACATATAGACAAGCCTGATGCATTTTGGAAACAAGTTCTGTGGACCGATGAGGTTAAAATTGAACTTTTTGGCCGGACTGAGCAAAGGTACGTTTGGAGAAGAAGGGGCACAGAATTTAATGAAAAGAACCTCTGTCCAACTGTTAAGCATGGGGTTGGATCAATCATGCTTTGGGGTTGTGTTGCAGCCAGTGGCACAGGGAACATCTCACGAGTAGAAGGAAAAATAGATTCAATAAAATTTCAGCAACTTTTGGATGGTAACTTGATGCCATCTGTGAAAAAGCTGAAGTTAAAGAGAGGATGGCTTCTACAAATGGATAATGATCCTAAACACACCTCGAAATCCACGGGGGATTACATCAAGAGGCGTAAACTGAAGGTTTTGCCATGGCCTTCACAATCTCCTGACCTCAACATAATTAAAAATCTATGGATAGACCTTAAATGAGCAGTGCGTGACAGACAGCCCAGAAATCTCAAAGAACTGGAAGACTTTTGTAAGGAAGAATGAGCAAAGATACCTCAAACAAGAATTGAAAGACTCTTGGCTGGCTACACAAAAAGCGTTTACAAGCTGTGATACTTGCCAAAGGGGGCAGTACAAGATATTACTCTGCAGGGTGCCCAAACTTTTGCAGACGCCATTTTTTGTTTTCTGTTATTTTGAAAGTGTAAATGATGGAAATAAAATCTAACTTTTGTTGACATATTATGAAAATGTCTAATCTGTAATTTGATGCCTTTTTGGAGATTTTTCCATCTTTCCTTGGCTTCTTTATGCACATTAATACAAATTTTTAGCTGGGGTGCCCAAACTTTCGATCCCCACTGTATATATATATATATATATATATATATATGCTTGCATTGTGCTTGAACAGTTAATGGTTTAACAGATTATGAAGACGAATCAAAGTACCCGTTACCTTTGTACATTTTTAAATGCTTCTTTTTTTTCTGTTCAGTTACCCTCAGGATGACGACATTGTTTTTGAAGATTTCGCACGTCTAAGACTCAAGGGGTTGAAAGATGACAAGGACGATGATGAAGCATACTGCTAGCCTTGCTTTTAGAGGCTGGGCCCCGTTGCCACTGGAGACTCCGCCCCCTTTGCCACAAACGGATTTCATTCCCTCTTAATTTTTTTTTTTTTTTTTTTCTTGAGCGGACACCTTACACAACTATACACACATACACAAAATGTGTATTCAATTAGCAGGCAGCATATACGGGTGTGTGTATGTACATAGGGACTCGCACAATAATATGGTGGGCACAATAGTGTGTACACGCTGCTGCACAGGCACTGGAGGTTGTGGTATATGTCGGTGTACTCTGTATTGTGATGTCATTTCTGTACATCTCCATATACTTGCCAGTCTCTATAGTTACATTGGAAACAGCAAGCATACGCAGAATGGGGGATGTACATAGGACTTATAGGAAATTTACACGTACAATTGGGGGGGGGGGGGGGTGGACTTTGTAAATAATTGGCAATCACACTTAATGTGGTTGCAGAATACATACTCACCCAGTTGTGCATATACGCACATGTGTAACTGTCACCACTGTGTGCATGAGTGGCCTGTGCGCACACAACCTACACACAATTTTTTGTGTGCTGATCATGTATCTTTTTTTGTTTTTTGTTTTTTTTTTTGGGGGGGGGGGGGGGTTGTCCATTTTTGTATATCTCCCCAGATGGATCGGTACAATCGTGGCACACCGTATGCTGCACTGCCACCCTGCACTTTCCCTCTGCCTCGGCAATTTTTAATTTTTTTAATTTTATGTAGGACATAAACGCTGTGAATAAACAGGAGATGCAGAGGTGTAAGATCAAATCCTCGGGGAAGGATCTCAAGGCCAGTTAATGAGATACTCGTGACATTGTGATTTTACTGGAGTTTTTAATTTTTTTTTTTTTTTTTTTTTTTTTTTAAACCCGAAGGTGCGACACTTCAGTTCCTGCTGATAGAGGGGCAGTGGGGAACGCGTGGTCTCAGGGAGTCTTCGAACTGCCAACATCTCTTGTTCCGCAGCAGGACAAGCCTAGATCTGCTCTCACTGGCTCCTCTGGGGAAGCAGCTCATTTTGCTTCTGATATGTGAATTTTCCAAGTTGGGACACTGTCATGTCCTCCTATTCGCACAAATAGGTGACACACCTGCCCCCCCCCCCCCTAATCTTTTAAATATTTTTTTGCCTTGATTCGTAATATATTTTGTCTTTTTGGATGTAAAATGATCTTTCTGTGTTGTTTAAATGCTCCACAGGTTTTAAAACGCTTTATTTTTTATCTTTATTATTTTTTTTTTTTTGCTACAAATATTAGGATGTGAGGATTAACAATAAAATCTGGTGTATGAATGTGGTCTTTTGTGGTAATCCTTTTTGTGTTCTGTGAATTCTCTTTTGTGATCCTTTGCTGCACAGGGCCAAATGTAGCATAGGGCATATTAAAGGCTAAGTTCACCTTTTAAAAAATAAATAAATGCACTTTTTTTTCTTTAACTGCAAAAAATTATGTGCATTTATTTATTTTTTTCCTTGAGCTTGCATAGCGTTGCAGCCGAACTCAGTAATGTCAGACTTCTGCAGAATCTCAGTATAGCAGTCTGCCCGTACAGTTACTGGAGAGCAGGCAGATCAGTGAACTAGAGGGAGCGCTCACCAGCTCCCTCGCAGTTCATTGAGAACTACAAGCCGTGTGCTGCAGTGGCAGACGGTAGTTGTAGTTGTGCTTAATTCATTCACAGAACTCTGTGAATGAATGACGCTGCCGTATAGGCGGAACCCAGACCGCCAACGCTCTTTAAATTTGTGACAGCAGGTGCAGTCAGGGTCAGCACTTTCGTAAATACTTGTGCTGCCATGGCAAGGCTAAAGGGCAGCGCCACCAACTTTTACCACCTCCCGCCCACCATATAAGGCAATGACGGGCGCAAGGTGGTTCTCTTGTTCTGGGAGGACGTCATATGACGTCCTCCCACTCTAACCGTGCATGTGGTTAGAGTCCCTCAGACACAGCGATCAACGGAAAGAGCCGAAGATGTCGGCTCGTTCATGTGATCAGCTGTGTCCAATCACAGCTGATCACATGTAAATAGGGAAATGCTGGTTATCGGCATTTCTCTCCTCACGAGCTGTCATGCTGACAACTCGAGAGGAGAGCCGGTAATCAGCATTCCTTGGAGGGGACATGTACACTGATCATCAGGGCACTGATGATCAGTGTAGCCCCAGCAGTGCCACCTGTCAGTGCCCATCAATGCCAGCTGTCATTGTCCATCAATGCCGCCTGCCAGTGCCTACCAGTGCACATCATTGCCACATATTGTGCCTATCTGAGCTGCCTTTCAGTTACACCTGTCAGTGCTGCCTATCAGTGCCATATATTAGTGCTGCCTTTCAGTGCCCATCATCGATGTCTGTCAATGCCCATCAGTGCCACCTATCAGTGCCATATATGAGTGCTGCCTTTCAGTGCCCATCATTGATGTCTGTCAGTGCCACCTATCAGTGCCATATATTAGTGCTGCCTTTCAGTGCCCATCATTGATGTCTGTCAATGCCCATCAGTGCCACCTACTAGTCCCTCCTGATCAGTGCAGCCTATCAGTGCCCATCACTGCAGCCTCATTAGCGCACATCAGTGAAGGAGAAAAATCACTTATTTACAAAATTTTAGACCAAAAACTAAGAAAAAATGTTTAGAAAATTTTCAGTTTTTGGTTTATCAAAAAATAAAAAACCCAGAGGTGATTAAAGACCACCAAAAGGCAGCTCTATCTGTCTAAAAAAAAAAATGATAAAAATTTCATATGGGTACAGTGTTGCATGACTGTGCAATTGTCATTCAAAGTGTGACAGCGCTGAAAACTGGCCTGGGCAGGAGGGGGGGGTGTAAGTGCCCGGTAGGCAAGGGGCTAAAATGTTTCCCCACTGCAAAACGCAAATAGCACCATAGAGGTGGAAAAATGCAGATGTGTAGGTAGGCATCCTCTGTATCCACCAAAGCCAGGAAGTCTCCCTGATGGAGATGAAAGCACTGACTTCACAGCTTCTATATGAACAAGTTCCTTTAGTTCAAAAGTTCCAAATGCTTTAGGACCAGAATGGGCCACACATTCCCATCCAGCAATAACTCAGAGGGTTCAACGGGTTGAGTGCAGCAAACTGCTGCTTTTTTGTTGGAAGCAGCAGGCATGTTTGACAGCATGAAGTGTAGAGGAGGTAAGGCACCTCCGGACATAATGTTTTGAACCCAAACATCAGAGATCTCCTGAGTCCACATGGAGCAGAGGCCACTAGACATCCACCTACTTGAAGAAGTGGGTTTTGGGAGGTTTAGGAACCCAGGTTTTCTTCTGAAAGGGAGCCGTGCACTTTGACTGTGGGTTTTGAAATTACAAAAGGGGACCCTTCTTGGTCCCATATTTAGATGGCCTTTGCTATGAAGGCACCTTAAACACTAATAATAGGAACCACTGCAGGTAAAATGAAAGTTCCTGCCGACTTGCCCTAATTATGCTTTGTGGTGTTCTTGGGACCTAATCAAGTATAGAGCACATTGCCTAATGCAAGCAGAGAGCCTGCACTAAAGAAGTCCCAATTGAGAACAACCGCAACTTAAGGAACAATACAAACTTATTGAAAAAACAATCAAAAATATATCCACACTCAAACCCTTTCACCCAGCACAATAAAATGATTGACAATGTTGTCAAAAGCAGTGAAAAAAGAGCCCGGGTTCACAGGATGCAAACCACTCACAGATGTGGACAATAATGCACATGGATAAGCATTCTATGGGAGCAGCAGCAATGTAATGGTAATAATGAGTTTGGTCCACCAAAATAATGGTTGGGGATCAGCCCCGTCACCTCAAGAATGACCCACAATAAACTAGGAGCTGATAGCACATATATGTATAGTATATGATCACGGCCCTTTAATGGAAATAAAGGGAACTACTAGAATGTATAATCGCTAATTTCACAGTCCAAAGACGGCTGTCCACAAGGTTTAGGAGGGTGTCTATGGGAAGGTTTGACCATTCTTCCGAAGCACATTTGTGAGGTCAGGCACTGATGTCGGGGGAGGAGGCCTGGCTCACAGTCTCTGCTCTAATTCATCCAAAAGGTGTTCTATCGGGTTGAGGTCAGGACTCTGTGCAGGCCAGTTAAGTTCCTCCACCCCAAACTAGCTCCTCCATGTCTTTTTGGACCTTGCTTTGTGCACTGGTGCGCAGTCATGTTGGAACAGGAAGGGGCCATCCCCAAACTTCCCACAAACTTGGGAGCATGAAATTGTCCAAAATGTCTTGGTATGCTGACGCCTTAAGAGTTCCCTTCACTGGAAATAAGGGACCAAGCCCAACCCATGAAAAATAACCCCACACCATAATCCCCCCTCCAACAAACTTTATACTTGGCACAATGCAGTCAGGCAAGTTCCATTTTCCTGGCAACCGCCAAACCCAGACACGTACATCAGACTGCCAGAGAAGCATGATTTTTCACTCCAGAGAACACGTCTCCACTGCTCTAGAGTCCAGTTGCGGTGTGTACTTTACACCACGGCATCTGACGCTTTGCATTGCACTTGGTGATATAAGGCTTGGATGCAGCTTCTCGGCCATGGAAACCCATTCCATGAAGCTCTCTACACACGGTTGTTGTACTAATCTGAAGGCCACACCAAGTTTGGAGGTCTTTAGCTATTGACTCTGCAGACAGTTGGTGACTTCTGCTCACTGTGCGCTTCAGCATGTGCTGACCCCGCTCTGTCATTTTACGTGGCCTACCCCTTGGTGGCTGAGTTGCTGTTGTTTCCAGCTTCTTCCACTTTGTTATAATCCCACTAACGGGTGACTCTGGAATATTTAGTAGCAAGGAAATTTCACAGATGGACTTATTGCACAGGTGGCAACCTATCACGGTACCACGCTTGAATTCACTGAGCTCCTGAGAGTGACCCATTCTTTTAAAAATGTTTGTAGAAGCAGTCTGCATGCCTAGGTGCTTGATTTTACACATCAGTGGCCATGGCAGTGATTGGAATACCTGAATCTAATGATTTGGAGGGGTATCCCAATACTTTTGGGAAGTATTGAGACCATTCAATTCATTTCCTTCGTCCTCCAGGAACTGCCTGCATACTCTTGCCACACGATGCCGGGCATTGTCGTAGACCAGGAGGAACTAGGACACACTTCCCCAGCTAGGGTCTGACAATGGGTCCAAGGATTTTGTCCCGATACCTAATGGCAATCAGGGTGCCATTGTCTAGCCTGTACAGGTCTGTGCGTCCCTCCATGGATATGGCTCCCCAGACCATCACTGACCCACCACCAAAACCGTCATGCTGAACAATGTTACAGGCAGCATAACGTTTTCCACGGCTTCTCCAGACCCTTTCATGTCTGTCACGTGTGCTCAGGGTGAACCTGCTCTCATCTGTAAAAAGCACAGGGTGCCAGTGGCGGACCTGCCAGTTCTGGTGTTCAATGGCAAATGCCAACTGAGCTCTATGGGGCCGGGCAGTGAGCACAGGGCCCACTAGAGGATGTCGGGCCCTCAGGCCACCCTCATGAAGTCTGTTTCTGATTGTTTGGTCAGAGACATTGACACCAGTGGCCTGCTGGAGGTCATTTTGTAGGGCTCTGGCAGTGCTCATCTTGTTGCTCCTTGCACAAGGGAGCAGATACCGGTCCTGCTGATGGTTAAGGACCTTCTATGGCCCTGTCCAGCTCTACTAGAGTAACTGCCTGTCTCCTGGAATCTCCTCCATGCTCTTGAGACTGTGCTGGGAGACACAGCAAACTTCCAAGCAATGGCATGTACTGATGTGCCATCCTGGAGGAGTTGGACTGTCTGTGCATCCTCTGTAGGATCCAGGTATCACCTCATACTACCAGTAGTGACACTGACCCTAGCCAAATGCAAAACTAGGGAAAAAAAATGTCAGTGGCCTCTGCCTGTAAAACCATTCCTGTTTTGGGGATAGTCTCATTGTTGCTCATCTAGTGTACCTATTGTTAATGTCATTAACACCAAAGCAGCTGAAACTGATTGACAACCTCCTTTGCTACCTAACTGACCAGATTAATATCCCAGGAGTTTCACTGACTTGATGCTATACTCTGATTAAAAAGTGTTCCTTTAGTTTTTTTGAACAGTGTATTTTGCAGTGTTTTCACATAGTCTTTTTGAAGAATTCCAATTTCTGTCCTGTGTTCATCGATGCCAATATTCTCTCCCAGGATAAGTCTTGGAGCGCAGCTCTCAGTCCTGGAAAATTAGCTCTCCTAAAGTTGAGTTTTTATTTTTCCCGTATGTGCTTGTTGTTTACACCTAACAATAAATGAAATCATGTTAAGGTCACTGCTACCCAGATGTTCTTTTATATGGACATTTGTAATAGGCTCTGCATGGTTTGAGATTACCAGGTCCAGAAGAGCATCATTCCTAGTTGGGGCCTCTATGAACTGTACCATAAAATTGTCCTGTAGTAGGGTTCTAAATTTTTGCATTTTAACTGTTCCTGCATTACCATTTCTCCAGTCAATTTCCGGGTAGTTAAAATCCCCCATTATTATCACTGTCCCAGCCCTTGCATCCCTTTCGATCTGTGCAAGGAGCTGAGTCTCCACTTCCTCATTAACACTGGGAGGCCTATAACAAACTCCAATAATTACCTTTGTAGTACGCACCCCCATGTGCATTTCCACCCATAATGGTTCACCCTCACCACACTCTCCATCAACTAGGTCCTCTTTCACACTCACTCTGAGATCACTTCCCACATAGAGACAGACACCACCACCTTTCCTATTTACCTTGTCTCTCTGAATGAGAACATAGCCAGGAATATTAATGGCCCAGTCATGTGAAGAATGAAGCCAAGATTCAGCAATACCAATTATATCATAGTTCTCTTCATACATCAAAGCTTCCAACTCAACTATTTTGCTTGGCAGACTTCTGGTATTGGTGAACAAACTTTAATTTACACATATGTTGCATGTTTTTTTACTTTTGTGCAAATGGTACCAATTCCACTGGTTGTTTGTATTATGGGAACCTTCTTATCACCTGCCATAGCCCTCCCTCCGCCTTTCCCCATTCCACCCACCAATACGTACTGACCCCTGTCTGATCTGTCTGCCCCATTATAATCTAATTCTCCCTCCTCCATCGATCCTAGTTTAAATACTCCTCCAGTCGTCCCATAAACCTCTCCCCCAGCACAGCAGACCCCCTTCTGTTTAGGTGCAAACCATCTCTAGCATATAGGTTGCACCCCAATGAAAAGTCAGCCCAGTGCCCAAATCCTTCCTTCTTACACCAGGTCTTCAGCCATGCATTCAGTTCTCTAATCTCCCCATTTTTCTGTGTTGCACATGGCACAGGTCATATTTCAGAGAATATCACTGTGACGGAAGGTAGGCAGGATAGAAAAAAATATACAAAAAAAATATTTTAAAACAACAGATAGGAATGCATATATTCCTATAAATAGTTATCACAAATCATGGCTAAATAATATTCCAAGAGGTCAGTTTATAAGGCTCAAAAGAAATTGTACCAAAGATAATGATTATGTGGACCAAAGTTTAATACTGTCAAAAAGATTTATTAATAAAGGATATGCTAAAGAGGTAATAGAAGTAGAAAGGAAAAAAGTGGGACTAATGGACAGAATAGGTATGTTGTCCAACAAACAAAAGGATAATCGTGATTATGAGGAATTATCGGTAGTATTACACTATAATAAACAATATAAAGCAGTTCAAAACATTATTAACCACTTGCCCTCCAGAGGATTTACCCCCCCCTTAATGACCAGGCCTCTTTTTGCTACTCGGCGCTGCACTAATTCAACTGATAATTGCGCGGTCATGCAATGCTGCTTCCAAGCAAAATTTAAGTCCTTTTTTTTCACACAAATAGAGCTTTCTTTCGGTGTAATTTGATCACCTGTACGCTTTTTATTTTTCACGCTATAAACAAAAAAAGACCGAAAATTTTAAAGAAAAACGGTATTTTTTACTTTCAGCTATAAAAAATATATATAGTAAACTCCGTTATAAATTTAGGCCAAAATGTATTCTGCTCCATGTTTTTGGTAAAAAAAAAAATCCCAATAAGTGTATATTGATTGCTTTGTGTGGAAGTTATAGCGTCTACAAACTATGGTATAGATACTGCAATTTACGCCATTTTTTTGCTATACAGCGCTGCGCTAGTTTAACGGACAATTGCGCGGTCATGCAATATGGTACATAAATGAAATTTGCATCCTTTTTTTCCCACAAATTGAGCTTTCTTTCGGTGGTATTTGATCCCCTGTGCTTTTTTTATTTTTTGCGCTATAAAAAGAAAGGCTGACAATTTTGAGGAAAAAAAAACAATATTTTGGACTTTTTGCTATAAAACATGTCCAGTAAAAAAAAATTTAAAAATCAAAATTTTGTCATAAATTTCTGCCAAAATGTATTCTGCGACATGTCTTTGCTAAAAAGAAAACCCAATACGTGTAAATTAATTGGTTTACGTGAAAGTTATAGCGTTTACAAATGGCGGGAAAGATACTGGGATTTTAATTTTTTTTTATACTAATAATGGCGATCAGCGACTTATGGCGGTGACCAGTGACTTATGGCGGTGATCAGCGACTTATGGCGGGACTGTGGGACTGCGGTGGACATTCTGAAACTGGGGGGGAACTGACTTTGGGTCACTGACATCCCCAGTGACACCAATACAGTGATCAGTGCAAAAAAAATACACTGACACTGTACTAATGGCACTGGGGAGGAAGGGGTTAACTTTATTATGCAGTGAAAGGGTTAACTGTGTGAGGGGAGTGTTTTACTAGGGGGTGTGTACTGCAGGGAACAAGGCTGATCGGGGCAGATAAACTCTTCTGTCCCGATCAGCGTGTCAGGAGCTGTCAGGGAACTGACAGAAAGCACAGCTACTGCAGCTATGCTCTCTGTCACTGATTGCCGCTAATCGGCGGGACATAGCCGGTAACGACCGGCTGTGGCCCGACGACTGACATCTGCGGCCGTGATCGGTGGGATAGGTAGGGCAGTGCGCCTCACGTGCGCCCCCTACCTGTTTTAAAAACACGCGTTTTAAAACGTGGTTTTGCCCAGCCATGCCGCCCAGCCGCTATATTTATACAGTGGCTGGGCGGCATGTGGTTAATAGACATTGGAAGATATTGAAGTTGGATAGACATTTAAAAAATGTAATCCCAGATAAACCGAGATTCATCTATAGAAAAGCACCTACTATAAGAGATAAGATAGTGAAAAATATCTTAGAACCTCCTACAAGGAATAATAATATTAGTTTCTTTCAAGGTATAGGTTTTTATGCTTGCGGAAGGTGTTACAGCTGTACTAGAGTAACACATAACCCTAGACGGAGATTCACATTCAGTAATACACACATGTTAAAGAGTATAAAATCAGACGATTCATCTCTTGCGATACCAAAGGGGTAGTATATGCTTTGAAGTGCCCATGCAACCTAATATACATAGGACATACTAAGAGACCATTAAAGGAACGCATAAAGGAACATGTTTACAACATCAATAGAGGTTATAAATATCATTATGTCTCACAGCACTTTAGACAGTACCATAATAAAGATGCTAGATCATTAGAATTTTGGGGTATTGAGAAACATATTATTCACTGGAGAGAGGATAATACTATTAGAGAAATTAGCAAAAAGGAGTCCAAATGGATCTTTGAACTGGGCTGTTTAGCCCCTCATGGCTTGAATAACGAGTTCGATTTGACTTGCTTCATTAGCAATTATTAAAAAGAGTATAATATGTTGGGATTTAGACTTTATATATATATATATGCTATAGGGTCCTTTTTTAAAAATGTATTTGGATTTTTAAATAATATATGGAATTTCAATTTTAATTTTTAAATAAAATTTAGCTTAAGGAGTAGCAGGTACTGTGACCCGCCTCTGGAAGACATTTAAATATCAATTTTATTTAATATATATAATGTTAATATGTTTTAATTAAAGATATTTTTACATGTTTAGTATGTAGTCTAGGGAGGGGTGAGTATAGTTTGTAGTCCGCATACAATGTATTGTATTTTATTAAATTAATCAATTTTTTATATTTTATAAATTAATTTTATAATTTCTAGTGGTGTTTTAATAATACATTATAATAAAAATGAATAGGGATTGTTTTAATTTATATTTTATGTATTTGCATAGTTTAATAATAATGGGATTAGAGATTTTTAGCATTTGAGTATTTTAGTATTAATGATATATTTAATTAGATTAGGAGGTTTAGTCTTTATATAGCTTGTATTCATGTATTTAGTAGTAATGTGTGGCCCCTGTGGTGTTATGTATAGCTTGCCAGCCCCGTCGGTGGATAGTGACATAGTGTCAGGGCTCGGGTATGACCAGAGATGTGTGGACTGACACAGGGATACACAGGCTCCAGGTATAGTATAAACAAGATAATTTATTAAGGACAACACAAACATAAATGCAGTGCAACAACCAAACCCAAAACTAACACAAATACATACAACGTAGTCAGGCGGGCCGGGTCGGTAGCTAATAGGCAAACGGTACCAGGAGCGAGCGGAAGAGTGGTCAGGAATAGCCGAGGTCAGGACAGGCGGAGTTCATTCAGAGTCTGATCAAAGCAGAATCAGGAATCAGGCAGGAAGCAGACAGGATGCAGGTACAGGGGCTCATGGGAAGCATACACCAAGGCACTGACTGCAGGTCTGGCCATTCCTTAAATACACCTCCTGCAATCAGCCTCAGGTGATGGCTGACTGCAGGAGTGAGCTTCTGGTTGCTGAGAGCACCTGCTGGCCAGCCCTGGTACTGCAGCCCACAAGGCAGGTGAGTCCCACCACCATTGGCAAGTCCATTCCTGACACATAGTGCAGAGTACGTAGATTATCATCTGTTTGGCTGTATAATTTTTCCTATATGCAGTGTTGCATCTAACAGACCCCAAAAAGATGGCCGCGTGCATGCGGACTACAATAAAATGGCGCCCGTTAGGTATATATAAGGCAATGAGAGGAGTGATGTGCAATCATATCCTCCTGATGAAGCCACGTGACCCGGTGGCGTAACGCGTAGGGGAGGGGCTCTGATGTTACGACGCTGTCTCGGACAGAACGGCGAGTATAGGCAGAAGCACACGCAGCAGGCTATGCTTTACTTTTAGAGCTTGTTTTAATTTGCACATATGTGAGCGGAATACTGTTATCTTTTTTAAATGTTACATTTATTAACTAAGTGTCAGGAATGGACTTGCCAGTAATGGTGGGACTCACCTGCCTTGTGGGCTGCAGTACCAGGGCTGGCCAGTGGGTGCTCCCAGCAATCAGAGACTCAACCCTGCAGCCAGCCAAACACCTGAAGCTGATTATGCAGGTGTATTTAAGGGATGGCCAGACCTGCAGTCTGCGCCTTGGTGTGTGTTTTCCATGGGCCCCTGTACCTTGTAAACCTGTGTTCCTGTTCCTGATTCCTGTAGTGCGTTCCTTGTTGCCGACCCTGCCTGTTCTGATCCATGCTGACATTCTCCTGCTCTGACCCCCGGCTCATCCCTGACCATCCTTCTGCCTGATCCTCTGTACCGTGCTGCCCGTGAGTTACTGAACCCGGCGTGTGACCTGACTACCCTTGTCTGCTGCTTGTACTGTGCCTGTCCCCACCGTTACTGACCCGGCTAGTCTGACCACGTCGCTCCTGACGGTCATCCATCCCGCTCAGACCTGTCAGCACTCTCTACCACAGCCGGACGCACTCAGGGGTCGCGACCTGGTTCCAGTCTGCACCAAGTCCATCCCCACCATCAGGGGCCCTGGTGAATAGCAGGCTGGGACTTAGACCCCGCGCCCTGAGGAAATCCGTGCTGTGGGCTTGGCCTGCCTGACCATTCCACCTCTCCAGCCCTGACTGCACTGTGTACCTATTGGTTTGTTTGTTTGCTCTGTGTACCTATTAGCTTAAGGTTAGCTTGTTTGCATTGTGTTTGTTTATTTGTGCAGCTGATAATAAATATTATTATTATAACATATCTGAAGTCTGCGTTTCCCTGCGTCAGTCCACACACCTCTGGTCATACCCGGAGCCCTGACATTACACCAAGGCCAATCCTGACCAGAAGTGGCTGCACAGGGAAGCCATCTTGGCTTGTTTCTGGGAAGGATGGATCTTGATGAGGTTGTGTATTTGTCGCTGCTGGTTTTTGATGACAGAGATTATGCTTATCAGACTCTGAAGGAGTATCCCCGGGATCAACTGCTAGAATGTATACGGCTCGCTCATGTTCTAGTAGATCAGGGCACAGAGTTCTCTGAGGTGCAACCTTTGATTCAGCTTTGTGTGGAGTTGGTTTCATCTGGTACCCCTGAATGCAGGAATGACTTTTTGCCACCATTTAGTGCAGACCAGGTAGAGTCCCTGGTATGGTTATTAGAGGATGATGTGGGTTGCTTCTTGGAGCATTATGCTGCATGTTCACCACAGATACTAAGAGATTGTATAAACGCAGTGCAGTCTTTGACCAGACAGGCTTTGTGTAAGCTGAGCTTTGTTCAACCCATACTGCAGACATGGACAGATTTGTTGCACCCAGCCTCAGTCAGCTTACAAAAACCCAGTCCTGCTTCTAATCTATTTCTTCAAAGCTCTATTCCTGCATTCCCAACAGCACCTCCAGTTACAGCCCAGTATACCCTGCTATCTACCGCATGTCAGTACCCTGTTCCCACTCGCTGCACCTATCCTGCCTTTAACCCTGTAAAGAAGCCCTCTGTAGCAACTGTTCCCTCTCCTGTTCCATCCTCCAGCTCTTCTCTGTCTCCAGCTGCTCCATCCGTTTACAAACCTGCGCTTACTTACGGTGCTCCAGTAACTAAAACCAGGAAAAGGCGAAAGTTCTTTCCAACTAGTGCCATCCTGCCAGTATCCAAACCGGTCAGCCTCCCATCTGAGAACCTGCCTTCCGTGGTGCAGCCTGGTGCCTTGGCGCCCACAATTCAGCCTGATGCCTCTACCCAGCCTGATGCCTCCATTCAGCCTGATGCCTCTACCCAGCATGATGTTTCTACCCAGCCTGATGAACTGATCCAGCCTGATGATTCCAATAGGCCAGTTGACTCGATGCCCGCTGTCGATGCAGAAGATCCGGTACCTGATGACCCAGTGCCCGCTGTCATGACTGGTGACCCGATGCCCGCTGTCGAGCCAGACGATCCAATGCCTGATGACCCAGTGCCCGCTGTCATGCCTGGTGACCCGATGCCCGCTGTCGGCCAGACGATCCAATGTCTGACCCAGTGCCCACGGTCATGCCAGTTGACTCGGAGCCCACTGTCGTGCCTGGTGACTCGGTGCCCACTGCCTTGCCAGATGACCTGGTGCCTGCTGTCAATCCAGACGATCCGGTACCTGATGACCCGGTGCCCGCTGTCGTGCCAATTGACTCAGAGCCCACTGCCTTGCCAGATGACGCGGTGCCGGCTGTCGAGCCAAATGACCTGATGCCTGGTGACCCGATGCCCGCTGTCGAACCAGACGATCCAATGTCTGACCCAGTGCCCAGTGGTCATGCCAGTTGACTCGGAACCCACTGTCATGCCTGGTGACTCGGTGCCCACTGCCTTGCCAGATAACGCGGTGCCCACTGGCGAGCCAAATGACCTGATGCCTGGTGACCCGATGCCCGTTGTCGTGCCTGATGACCCGCGTGACCCCCTGGGGGCCGCCTCCGCCTGGGGGCCCGGTGCCTGCCGTCCCTCCTGGCGGCCTGGCGCCCGCCGCTCCGCCTGGGGGCCCGGCGCCCGTCGCTCCTCCTGGGGGCCCGGTGCCCGCCGCCCCTCCTCGGGGCCCGGCGCCTGCCGCTCCGCCTGGGGGCCCGGGCCCGGTGCCCCCGCCTGGGGGCCCGATGCCTGTCGCTCCGCCTGGGGGCCCCCGCCGCTCCGCCTGGGGGCCCAGCGCCTGACGCTCCGCCTGGGGACCGATGCCTGGGGGCCCGGCGCCCGTCGCTCCTCCTGGGGGCCCGGTGCCGCCGCCCCCTCCTCGGGGGCCCGGCGCCTGCCGCTCCGCCTGGGGGCCCGGTGCCCCGCCTGGGGGCCCGATGCCTGTCGCTCCGCCTGGGGGCCCGATGCCTGTCGCCCCCCTGGGGGCCCGGCGCCCGCCGCTCTGCCTGGGGGCCCAGCGCCTGACGCTCCGCCTGGGGACCGATGCCCGCCCGCCGCCCCTCCTGGGGGCCCGGTGATGCCTGCCGCCCCCCTCCTGGGGGCCCGGAGCCGCCGATCCGCCTGGGGCCCGGCGCCCGCCGCTCCGCCTGGGAACCCGGCGCCCCCTCCACCGGGGCCCGGCGCCTGCCGCTCCGCCTGGGGGCCCGGCTGCCGCCTGCCTGGGGGCCCGATGCCCGCCGCTCCGCCTGGGGGCCCGGTGCCCGCCGCCCCTCCTGGGGGCCCGGTGCCCGCCGCTCCGCCTGGGGGCCCGGTGCCCGCTCCCGCCTGGGGGCCCGATGCCTGCCGCTCCGCCTGGGGGCCCGGCGCACCCGCCGCCCTGCCTGGGGGCCCGGCGCCTGATGCTCCGCCTGGGGGCCCGAGGCCTGTCGCCCACCCCGGGGGCCCGGTGCCTGCCGCCCCTCCTGGGGGCCCGGCGCCTGCCGCTCCTGCCTGGGGGCCCGGCGCCCCCGCCTGGGGGCCCAGTGCCTGTCGCTCCGCCTGGGGGCCCGGTGCCCGTCGCCGCCGGGGGCCCGGTGCCTGCCGCCCCCCCCGGGGGCCCGGCGCCCGCCGCTCCGCCTGGGGGCCCGGCCCGCCCGCCGCTCCGCCTGGGGGCCCGGCGCCGCCGCCCCCGCCTGGGGGCCCGGCGCCCCGCCCCCCTGGGGGGCCCGCCTGCCTGGGGGCCCGTGCCTGTCGCTCTGCCTGGGGGCCCGATGCCTGTCGCTCGCCTGGGGGCCCGGTGCCCGCGCCGCCCCTCCTGGGGGCCCGGTGCCCGCCGCTCCGCCTGATGGCCGGTGCCCGCCGCCCCTCCTGGAGGCCCGGTGCCCACCGCCCCTCCTGGGGCCCGATGCCCACGCCCCTCCTGGGGGCCCGACACCTGCCGCTCCGCCTGGGGCCCGATGCCTGTCACTCCCCTGGGGGCCCTATGCCTGTCGCCCCTCCTGGGGGCCCAGTGCCCGCCCGCCGCTCCGCCTGGTGGCCCGGTGCCCGCCGCCCCTCCTGGGGGCTCGGCGCCTGCCGCCCGCCTGGGGGCCCGGCGCCCCGCCTGGGGGCCCGATGCCCCCGCTCCGCCTGGGGGCCCGATGCCTGCCGCTCCCCCCCGGGGGCCCGCCGCTCCGCCTGGGGGCCCGCCGCCCTGCCTGGGGGCCCGATGCCTGTCACTCTGCCTGGGGGCCCGATGCCTGTCGCCCCTCCTGGGGGCCCGGTGCCCGCCGCCCCTCCTGGGGGCCCGGTGCCCGGTGCCCGCTCCGCTCCGCCTGGGGCCCGGTGCCCGCCCGCCCCCCTGGAGGCCCGGTGCCCACCGCCCCTCCTGGGGGGGCCCGACGCCTGCCGCTCCGCCTGGGGGCCCGATGCCTGTCACTCCACCTGGGGGCCCCTATGCCTGTCGCCCCTCCTGGGGGGCCCAGTGCCCGCCGCTCCGCGGCCTGGGGGCCCGGTGCCCCCGCCGCCCCTCCTGGGGGCTCGGCGCCTGCCGCTGCCGCCCGCCTGGGGGGCCGGCGTCCCCCGCCTGGGGGCCCGATGCCTGTTGCTCCGCCTGGGGGCCCGATGCCTGTCGCTCTCCGCCCGGGGGCCCGCCGCCCGCCGCTCCGCCTGGGGGCCCCGCCGCCCGCCTGTTGCTCTGCCTGGGGGCCCGATGCCGCCGCACCCCTCCTGGGGGCCGGCGCCCGCCGCTCCGCCTGGGGCCCGGTGGCCGCCGCCCCTCCTGGGGGCCCGCCGCCCGCCGCCTGCCTGGGGCCCGGTGCCCGCCGCCCCTCCTGGGGCCCGGTGCCCGCTGCTCCGCCTGGGGGCCCGATGCCTGTCGCTCCGCCTGGGGGCCCGGCGCCCGCCGCCGCTCTGCCTGGGGGCCCGGCGCCTGCCACTCCGCCCCTGGGGGCCCGAGGCCTGCCGCTCCACCCTGGGGGGCCCGGTGCCTGCCGCCCCTCCTGGGGGCCCGGCGCCTGCCGCTCTGCCTGGGGGCCCGGCACCCCACCTGGGGGCCCAGTGCCCCTCCGCCTGGGGCCCCGATGCCTGTCGCTCCGCCTGGGGGCCCCCGGTGCCTGTCCTCCCCGCCTGGGGGCCCGGTGCCTGCCGCCCCTCCTGGGGGCCCGGCGCCCGCCGCTCCGCCTGGGGGCCCGGCGCCCGCCGCTCCGCCTGGGGGCCCGATCGCCTGCCGCCCTGCCTGGGGGCCCGATGCCTGTCGCCCCTCCTGGGGCCCGGTGCCCGCCGCCGCCCCTCCTGGGGGCCCGGTGCCCGCCGCTCTGCCTGGTGGCCCGGTGCCCGCCGCCCTCCTGGAGGCCCGGTGCCCGCCGCCGCCCCTCCTGGGGCCCGGTGCCCACCGCCCCTCCTGGGGGCCCGGTGCCCCACCGCCCCTCCTGGGGGCCCGGTGCCCACCGCCCCTCCTGGGGGCCCGGCACCTGCCGCGCTCCGCCTGGGGGCCCGATGCCTGTCACTCCACCTGGGGGCCCGATGCCTGTCGCCCCTCCTGGGGGCCCAGTGCCCGCCGCTCTGCCTGGTGGCCCGGCGCCCGCCGCCCCTCCTGGGGGCCCGGCGCCTGCCGCTCCGCCTGGGGGCCCGGCGCCCCGCCTGGGGGGGCCCGATGCCTGTCGCTCCGCCTGGGGGCCCGATGCCTGTCGCTCCGCCTGGGGGCCCGGCGCCCGCCGCTCCGCCTGGGGGCCCGCCGCCTCGCCTGGGGGCCCGATGCCTGTTGCTCTGCCTGGGGGCCCGATGCCCGCCACCCCTCCTGGGGGCCCGGCGCCCGCCGCTCCACCTGGTGGCCTGGTGCCGCCGCCCGCCCCCCTCCTGGGGGCCCGGTGCCCGCCGCTCCGCCTGGTGGCCCGGTGCCCGCCGCCCCTCCTGGTGGCTCGGTGCCCGCCGCCCGCCTGGTGGCCCGGTGCCTGCTGCTCCGCCTGGTGATCCGGTGTCCAGCCCGATGTGCCTCTGCCCGGAGTCCAGCTGATGTGCCTCTGCCCGGAGTCCAGCTTGATGTGCCGCTGCCCGGAGTCCAGCCTTGATGTGCCGCTGCCCGGAGTATGATACCCTTAATGTGGCACACTGGAGAGAGGATTTTAAAGGAAGGAGGAGACCCCTGGAGGGGAAAAGGGAGATATATCCATCCATCCATACCCAACACAGGGATCATTCTACTGGAGAGACCTCAGGTGGAATATTACCATACTACAGCTATCCATACAGCATTTGGAAAGAATATGGTATACAGGAGTCCAATTAGGACAAAAAGCTGTTTTAGCCTAATAATTTTTGGCTATAGATAAGGAGAGCGCATATATAGATCAACTGTATCCAGATACTGGAGTTGGAGCTTCTGAATTTAAAGAGGACTTTTTTTCCCCCTTATATTATATTGATATGCAGTTTATTGAATTAGTTTATTATTTGATTTTCACAGTGATTATGAGCACAGTTTATATGGTTTGATGATTATATATTTATAATTTAATATAATATATTGTATTCACGGAAATGACGCATCTATTTTTAGGTGCATAGTGAGTATATAATTAGGGAGCGCGGCACACTTGGTACAATTTGTTTATTTACACTATTTAAGGAGTTGGTGTGAGTGTCAGCGAACCACATGGGAGGGGTTATAATTGAATAATTAGCACACATTCAGAACACACCAGAGTAGCTCACAAATAATTATATAATTTTTTTTTTTAGGCAGGATAGAACACACAAGGCAAATGGCAAACACTTAAAGCTTTATTAAAACAGACAACAGTCACTCAATGAGGAGTAGTGCAGAGAGAGAGCACAAAATATTTTGTAATCCAGCCCCGGTGGGCAAAGTTAAAGTCTCTACAGAAGTTTGTAATCCAACAGGGAGGTATGAGGCAGTTCCTAAACAGGTCAGACAACACAGGGGAGACATACACTCACGCAGAGCTGGTGTGATAGTCCTAGGTAGAGCTGGAAGCGTCTCGGGCAGAGCTGGTGTGGCTTCTGGTGTCCCCCCCCACTCCAATGGGACTGGCAGAGTCTGGTGTGGTGGTCTCAGGCAGAGCTGATGTGGCTTCTGGGGTCCCCCTTCTCCAATGGGGCCCAGACTGAGTCTGGCCACTAGAGTCCCGCCGCAGCTGGGATCCTTGAGTGGCTGCACAGCAGAACGAACAAACGGGAGACACTAGCACCGGTCTCTTAAAACGGTGTTAGAGGCTTCCCGGTTGTCCTGGTAACGGGACGGGCCTGTGGGTGGCGTGCCTCATTGCTTGGCAACGAGGCACATCCCCCTGGACACGGGTCGCGCTCACATGAGCGCGGCCTTTGTCCGGGCGTTGTTTGTAAGCGTGCAAACTTTCGTTCACGCGATACCAAAACGTCTGGACCGTGTGGCGTCCCTGTGGCGCCAGGACCCGGATATCCTCCACAGGAGGTTCGCACTTTTCCGGAGAGGTGCGAACTGGCTATCTCCGAGGGGAGATAGCGACAATCACATTTGGACAAAAGCAGGTTGGACAGGATGGTCAAGGAAACACAGTAATTAGATTTGCAGCTGTAAACGGGATAACAGTGGGGAAGAATATACATTTAGACACAAACCAGAATGGGCAAGATGGACAGGGAAGGAAGCACAATAATTGAATTTGTAGCTGTAAACAATATAACAGTGGAGAGAATACACTAATTGAATTTGGGACCTTTTGTGGAGGGGGGCGCATTAATTACAGCTAGGGGCCTTTGGCACACAGGAGTAGAATACTAATTGGAGGATACACTTCCTATGGCCAGGAGGGATTAAAGAAACAAGGAATTGATAACTGGGGAATTAATAGCTGCGCTGGCAGAGAACTCATATCGTGACAATCACCTTGTAGGTCCTTCCCTTCAATTTGCAGCCTAGTTCTTTAAATTGATTCTTAAGGAGCCTCCACCTTCCATGTATTCTATCATTGGTTCCAACATGGACCAAGACAGCTGGGTCATGCCCAGCCCCTCCAATTATTTATCAACCCAATCCACCACATGCCGGACCCTGGCACCAGGGAGATGGCAAACCATTCAGTTGAGGCGATCCTGGCGACAAATCGGTCCTAATTATAGAATCCCCTACTTCCAAAAATTGTCTAGGTCTTCCTGCACTACCCTTACTACCCTTCCTAGATGGTCTGCTCTCCCGGCTTTTAGGGATAGTAGTGACATTCAGGGCTGCCACCCCTGAGCTTGCCACCCCCACACCTTCACTCAATTTGGCAAAAAGTATTTGGGAGCTCAAACCCAGGGCTGGCCTTCCTTTTCTGTAAGCCCCTACCACTCCCTCTCGCTACAGTAACCCATCTTCCTACCTGATAATCCTGATTAGCCCCTCCACATCAATCCCATTAGCTACCGGCTCAGAGAGCAGAAGATCCTTTTCAAGGTTGTTGGTTCTGCCCAGTGTTGCAACTTGTTCTTCCCGATCTCTAAGGCGAGCTTCCAGAAAGGCAACCTGCTCACATCTGTTGCTATTGCAGTGTGATTTTAGATTGCAGGCAGAATTGAAACGTTTCTGCCCAAGATCCCAAAACGTTAGATGTGAATGGAGCCTGAGGCTTTCCTTAACTGTCTTAGTGTAGATTTATTTACTTCTGAACTTTTGGGCACAGAATGAAACTAACCCTGTATGCCTAATGCACTCAAATCCCAGAGTCTGTCATCTGATAAACCCTTAAGTCCTGGTTCACATCAGGACTTTGATATGGTACGGGAACTGCATGTGATTCAGTTGTATGGTACGGGAACTGCAGGGCGATTACAGCCCATTCATTTGTATGGCTCAAATCGCACACGCATGAAAAAGGTGCATGTCCCTTTTTTGCAGCACTGGAATCATATCGCATGGGTGTTTACACTCATGCAATCGGATTCAGCCAATCGCATCGCATGAACGGAGCGCAATTGTGATGCGGTGCGGGAATTGATGCGAATCCTGCACAGCATCAGTGAACCGGGGCTAAAGGAATCTAATGCTGCTGGGATTGACAGTTGTGTGCAAATAGAAGTGGCCGCCAAGCCCATACATTGTAATGACAGGCTGTTGGTAATTGCAGCTATTTGTTCCTGTTCACACAGTCAGTGAACACTGCATGTGATTGAGGGGTTGTGCCAACAGGCACAAATAACTGTGTCCACTCATAGTCCATCAATACCACGTATGGGCTTGTTGGCCACAGCTATCAATCCCAGCCACAGGATTTAGTAGATTCTTGCTATTGCATTTTGCACCTTAGCTAAACCCCCATATGAATGTAGCCTTAGTTTTCCAGCCAGACTAGACCTCTGTATTTTAATAGGATCCTCCTCAAATTTGTCAAATTTCCACCCTCATAAATGGGCCTGGGTAATGCTTCGTGGTCAATGGCTGAGAAAGGTAGTAACCACAATCCTCTTTTCAAGGAGCTTCCTTTTATTATTATTATTATTATTATTATTATTATTATTATACAGGATTTATATATTATTATTATTATACAGGATTTATGGCGCCAACAGTTTGCTCAGTGCTTTACAATATAACGGGAGACAATACAGCAACAATACAGTTCAATACAAGAGGGATAGGAGGGCCCTGATCCTTGGAGCTGACAATCTAAGAGGGAGGGGCTAGTGGTACAAAAGGTAATAACTGTGGGGGATGGACTGGTAGGAGGAGTAGAAGATTCCATTATTAGCTGAGGGCAGGATAGGCTTCCCTGAAGAGATATGTTTTCAGAGATCGCCTAAAAGTGAGCAGAGTAGGTGATAAATTGGTTTAGAGAGTTCCAGAGGATGGGGAAGGCTCTGGAGAAGTCCTGGAGACGAGTGTCAGGAATGGACTTGCCAATGGTGGTGGGACTCACCTGCCTTGTGGGCTGCAGTACCAGGGCTGGCCAGCGGGTGCTCTCAGCATCCAGAAGCTCACTCCTGCAATCAAGCCATCACCTGAGGCTGATTGCAGGAGGTGTATTTAAGGATTGGCCAGGCCTGCAGTCAGGGCCTTGGTGTATTGTTCCCATGAGCCCCTGTACCTGCATCCTGTCTGCTTCCTGCCTGATCCTGACTCTGCTTAAACTCTGCCTGCACCGACCTCGGCTACACCTGACCAATCTTCTGCCTACTCCTTGTACCTTGTCTGCCCGTTAGCTACCGACCCGGCCCGCCTGACTACGTTGTGCTCCATAATTATATATATATATCAGTTAAGGTTTGGGTTTGCTGCACCTTGTTGTACGTATTTGTGTTAGTTTTGGGTTTGGTTTGTTTGCACTGCGTTTATGTCTGTGTTGCCTTAATAAATTATATTGTTTTACACGCCATACCTGAAGTCTGTGTTTCCCTGTGTTGTTCCACACACCTCTGGTCATACCCGGAGCCCTGACAACGAGCATTGGAGGAGGAGATAAGGGAGCTAGAGAGCAGGGGCTTATGCGAGGAGCGGAGAGAACGGTTTGGGTGATATTTAGAGACAAGATCGGAGATGTAATTTGGGGCAGAGTTATAATGGCTTTATATGTTATTGTTAATGTTTTGAATTTTATCCGTTGGGCAACTGGGAGCCAGTGGAGGGATTGGCAGAGAGGGGTGACAGATATGGAAAGGTTAGTAAGTTGGATCAGTCTTCCTTAGAAAGGACCTGATATCTTTTTCCTTTAGAAGCTGCACTGACCAAGCGGCTGTTTCTCTCAAATGATGTAATACCCTAGTATGCCACTAGATGTTACTGCAGGACATATCTTATTACCTTCATTTAGACGTTCGTAATACTGTACTAGTTACTGGAATCTCTAGAAATCAAAGATTTCATTTGAATTCTTCTAATGAGAGAAAGGGTAAAAAAAAAAAAGAAAAAAACCTACCTTCTGTCTTCGGCACCTAGGCCAATGTAATATTGTGGTCCTTTCTTTGAGATCCTGGGGGCACTGAGGATGTTAATCCTTGCAAAAAGAAGCTGGTACACTGTGCTGTCTAGGTGTCAGGGACCCCAGTGGTTGCCGCGATCGCGCTCGGGTCTGCGCATGCGCAGTGTGCCCAGCCGCACTAGCGTGCGAGCATTGGGACCATTGGGATCTCTTGTTTGTTGTATTGTTGGGTCAGTAGCCAGACCTGAACCTTGTAGCTCTCCCCATTGTGTCTTTTCCCCTATGCTAGCATTGTGTCCACAGTAGCACTTGCGTAGGCAGGGCAGAGTAGGACTGGCCATAGAGGGATTACTTTGACGCAGTTGGCCAGCTTAAACATGTATTGCAATATGTGTGAACCAAATATCCCTATTTGTTGCATAGTTTGCTTGAAAGGGTATATACCAGTGTGCAGAGGGTCCTTCAGAATTTCTAGAGCATTGGGACCAGGGCACCCGCGATTGCAGCGGCGCTCGCGCATGCGCACTCGCAATCATGGGCGCGAGCCTGGCACCAATCAGGGCGTAGGGCGCCCTATTTAAAACAGGTTAGGACTGCATTGAATTGCCGTATGGTCTTACCTGTTTCTCCTGAAGTTCCTGATTAGTAGATTGTTTTGTTGCCGACCCTGCCTGACCCTGATTTGCTGTCCGTCTCCTGTTCTGATCCCTGGCTTGTCTGACCATTCTCCTGCTTAACCCCGTACGCCCTGATCTGTTAACGAACCCGGCTTGTGAACTGTTTATTCCTCTGCTTGCTGATTTGGTACCACGCCGCCACCACTGTTACCGACTCGGCCTGCCCGACGCTGCTCTTGTGACCTCCTCACATCAGACTCTCACCTGCTATACACCTCCAACGGTGCTTCTACCACAGCTGGGTGAACCCAGGGGCCACGACCTGGTCTCGGCCTGCTCCAAGTCCATCCCCACCATCAGGGGCCCTGGTGAACAAGCAGGTAGGGGCTTAGATTCCGCGCCTTGGACGAGTCCGGTCTGTGGAGCGCTAGAGGCTACCGCGGTAGGATCCCTGACACTAGGGCTAGACTCACACTACTGTGCGTTGGACACTCATAGAAAAGTGCTGCCGTTTAGCAGATGCGTAGCAGTGCCATTAATTGTTAATGGCACTCCCCGCGTATCTGCTAACGCTCATGCCAAACCACATGGTGCCATGCTACTATGTGGTTCAGTGGGGCGCATTTTTTTTGAAAACGTGAAGTAATTCTTTTTTGCATTTGTCGTATGTAGGGCAGCTCTACGTGCGCATCTATGTGTGAATTAACATACTCTTGCTGGATTTCATAAATTTCTCATTAAAGCCTCACTCACACCGTACGTACATAAAAACTGACTGAAAAAAAGTGCAGATTTCACTTGCAGAGACATGAGCTTACATCAGTTTTCATGTGCATTTTTCACTTTCACGTATGCCCTGTTGACACGACAATGCTGAAGTCACGTCAGTTTTTTCCGCACAGAAAACTGCATACATGTAGCAGATTCTTGCGCACAAAAAATAATCTGCATGTGATACTAGTGTTGCAGAGTAAATAGGGCACATAGAGAACATTTGCCCTTGCAGAACGCAGGCAGAAAAAGTGGCATCTCTGCACATGGTGTGAACAAGGACTTATATGTAACCAGCCCTCATATTCTGACTCAGACTACAGGACAATAAACCTCATCTCCCACGATGTATACAGCTATACCACGTGGTGTTGAATCTATCTCTTGTATCGGGTCAGATTTTATTTAATTTGTTTATTTATTTCAGGTACTTATATAACGTCGTCAATTTACGCAACGCTTTACATACATATTGTACATTCACATCAGTCCCTAACCCTCAAGGGGTGTACAATCTAAGGTCCCTAACTCACATTAATACATACAAATACTAGGGACAGTTTAGACAGGAGCCAATTAAGCTACCAGCATGTCTTTGGCGTGTGGGAGGAAATCGGAGTACCCAGAGGAAACCCACGCAGGCACAGGGTTTGGTGGTATTTAATCACCACTGAGTTTTTTTATCTTTTTGCTAAATAAAACAAAAAACACCTGAAACTTTTGAAAATAAAAACGCACTTTTCTTTGTTTCTGTTATCAAATTTTGCAAATAAATAACATTTCTTCATAAATTTAGGTCAAAATGTATTCTTCTACATTTCTTTGGTGAAAATAATAAAAATAATAATAATTTAATGTGCATTTTTTTTCAAAGTTTTCTATTTTTTTTATTTTGTAGTACATTATTTTTTCTTTTTTTTAATATTTTATTTTTCAACACACTGTGACAAAAGCAATACAATGTTACCATAGTAACATTGGACTACTCTGGGCAAGTGATCAGGATTATTGCTTTTTTTTTAACACATTATGATTGCTAATTCCAATGTATTTCATTGATATTTGCAATCATTGTTACTGAATGAAACTGATTAATTCAGTCTTTTGTTGTGATTCGCTGTGATTGGGCAAAGCTGATCACATGATACAGATGGCTTATTTCCAACTTGTGGTACTGTATGCAGGGGCGGACTGACCATTTGGAAACTCGGGCACTGCCCGAGGGCCCAGGGTCAGTAGGGGGCCCCATGAGATGCCCCTGGTACCTTTTTCATAGGCTTTTTTGAGTTTGGGCAAGGACACAGGGGCCCCATGATCCTCTATTGCCCGGGGGCCCCATGAGTTGTCAGTCTGGCTCTGAGGAAGAGGCAAGTCCTCGAAACGCGTCAGCCTTTTGGATGTCTAAACTCCCTATTGCGGACTGTTACTCAGCGCGGTGTTGACCCAGCTGTTCTTTTGTGATGTGCCTTGACTGTATTGTCGTTTGTGAGTACAACACCTACTTTATTTCTTATTAAACATTTTTTATGGTAATGCACTAGGCCTTTGCGCCCTCTCTTTGTTCTTTCCCCATTCAGTTGTCAGTCCGCCCCTGACTGTATGTGTATATAAGATTGGAGAATGGTTTTTTGGGCATCAGCCTTGACTTTTGGCTTCCTGCCAGGCCTTCCTGTGCTCATAGGAGTTTGACTCAGCTAAGTGCACCTGGGCAGCGCACAGTCTGTCTCTTGCTTCGCGGTACTGTTGAGAGACCTTTTTTTTTTGTATGCGGCTGCGAAGGCTATGACCTGCCCACGCAGCACAGCTTTACCTGATCCCCAGAATAATTTTGGGTTGTCTTTGTGGGCAGCGTTAGCAGTCTCGAAATCTGCCCAGGTATCCTGGAGGGTCTTTTGGAAGTCTCCATTACGTGCCAAACAAGATGGAAAACGCCAGATCCTGGGCGAGCTTTAAGAGGTGAAATTTACAATATGGATGGAGACTGAGCTATGATCTGAGATGGCTATATCGTGGATGTTAGATTCGGTGATACATTTCAAAAGGGTAGAGTTACAAAAGATGTAGTCTATTCTACTTAAAGTGTGATGTGGGGGTGAGTAAAAGGTGTATTCCTTGCCATCTGGGTGGGCCAGGCACCATACATCAATCAGATGTAGGGCCACAATCAGGTGTGATAAGGGAGTGGAGGTGAGTAAAGACGATGGAGGAGAGAGGGTCCTATACCTAGATCTATCTTCCTGAGAGAGTTCATAGTGGAATTACAGTCACCTCCCACTAATAAGGGGAGATGCAGGAGAGGTGAGAGGTGACCTTTTGGAAAAACGCTTTGGTGGGGGAATTAGGGGCGTATATGTTGGAGATGACAAGATCCCTGGAAGCTAGGCAGATGTGTATGGTGAACATCAGTCCTTCGCCATCCCCACTAGTTGATACTATTTCACAAGTTAAGTGTTTGTGTAAAAGGATCAATACTCCCGCTTTACCTTTGACCAAAGCTGATCCATAAACCTGGCCTACCCAAAGTTTTTTCATGCGTGATAAATCTTCCTGCACTAGGTGGGTTTCCTTCAAGAGACCGTTTAAGGTGACATAGCATTGCCATATGTTTATAGGGGGATTGTAAGCCCTTGACATTCCATGAAATAACTTACGTCATTGCGACTTTACGGATCTTACATAATTAGACCACATACTAATAACATCTACCCCAGCCTGCACAGTCCACATTAGACCTTGATTGTCAAAAAAAATAGAATAAGATAATGGAGGGATTTGGTTCCCAATACATAAAAGGGGAAAAAAAGAAACAGAAACAAAGCCCAACAGGGGCAGTGAGCAAAAACAAAGCAGGAGTAGCTTTGACTTCACATTATTCCACATGTAACCCTTTACTGTAAACAGCGTTATCGGGAGCTCTTGCCAAAAGTGCGCTGGGACAATAACAAATGTAACTCATCCCACAGCTTCTTTGGAGGATGTTGAGAAGGGAATGTGTATACATTCCCATTCTGTACTTCAAGAGCTATAGCCTGAGAAGGCTGTGTCAACCATGACAAATAACATGCGTGCAGCAGGAATCTTCAATGGTTAAGACTCAAGTTGGACAAGTGTTCAAGAAAACCGAAGGGTACAGGAACTATGTCGCCATAGGTTCAGGGTTAGGTGAACGTGGACGTTCCTGAGTTTTGTGCATAGTGAGGCCTGTTTGGATGGTCTTTCTGTGGGCTGCGTTGTTCCCTGGGATCATCTGAGTGAGAGGTGTTCGCGGGATTAGGCATGTCCTTGGATATATTCAGATAATCTTGCATGTAGTTTGCAGCTTCTTCTGGATGCAAAAAGGTTTTGGACACCCCTGCTTGGTTAGTCAAGCAAAGTGTAGCCAGGTATGTCAGCGTGAATTTGATACCTTTCAGATGCAGAGCTGAACAAATGGGTCGAAAAGCTTTTCTTCTGCGGGATACTTGGGAGTAATCAGCAAATAGGAGTAGTTTATGGCCATCTAGCTGGAGAGATCTAAATTTTCAGAAGGATTTTAAGATGGCTACTCTGTCTGAGTAACTAAGATATTTAACAATCACTGACCTTGGAGAGTGGCGCTCATTGGAAGGAAAACCCAAGCGGTGCTCGGCCAGAGAGTTGGAGCTGTAGGATTCAGGATGACTATTGATCCTCAGGTTGTTCCTGTGGGAATGGTTCTCAAAGTCATTTAGCTTTTCCAGGATGTACTGCTGTGTTTGAGCAGCCTTTTGAGCAGTGGATTGGGAGGATTGTAGCAGGCTTGTTATGCGGGTGTTTCTGGAGCCGCCATTCTGTGCGACTTCTACATGTGGCGCCAGAACCGGAAGTCCACAAGAAGAGGTTTAACCTTAAACTGTGTAAGGGCTTTTTTTTTTACTGTTAGAGTCGTAAGGATGTGAAACTCCCTCCCACAGTTGATGGTTTCAGTGGGAAGTGTTGCTAATTAAAAAAAAAAAAAATACACACACACACATGTCTATTCAACCTTGCCAACTATGTAACTATATCTCTGTAATGCCTATGAAATGTGTTGGCCTTGGAACCTTTGTTTCTTGGGTAAATTTTACAATTAAGCATCGTTGCCCAGATGCCAGGAGCATGAGACATTGATGTCATTTCTCTAGGCCCAAGGAACAGAGTCACAATATATTAGAATGCTTAAAGCAGATAAGAAGTGTTTGTGGCATCTAGAAATGTTACATTAGACTGCTTAAATTAGATAACAACTTGTTTGTGCAATTAAAGGTGTCTACTTGTTTGAGAAGTTAGACATCTTTAAGTTTAGGGTAGATAAGAAGCTGATCTGAAGCAAAAGTGTGATATTCTTAGATAAACGTTATTTGTTAGGTGCAGTGGCTGGGTGTGACTCTATTATCCAAACGGAACCTTTCTGCTAGCTCCTCCTAGAGTGGGTGTGACGCCCGCCCACTTCGGGAAAGCTGCCAGAAAAGGGGTTTAAAACAGGGAGCTTGAGCGGGATCAATTGGGAGCAGCCTTCCTATGCAGAAGAGGACGCTCTGATGCTGGGACTCTTGCCAAGGCTATATGGGCTCATCGATTGGTCACATTTACGGCTTCCCTGTGACCCCCTGTCCATTATGGTTCTGATGGGGTCTGTTCCTTACCGTCTTCCCATAGCTTTGGAATTTATTAATTCTATCCTGTGACGCTGTCAAAAGATGTGTCTATTTTATGCTGTAATGCTCACATTATTATTGGTGTGTGTTATTATGCAGATTGTGATGACTATAAGATATATCCTCTTGTGTGTCGTGTGATAATAAAATTGGAGGTTTTGACAGTGCAAGAATATTGCAGTTGGATTCTGTTGTTTCTTGAAGTGCCGAGTGAATGCTATGGTGTGCCAGGGCAGGTGTTCATCCAGTAATAGGTCTTTCACATGCTTAGAATAATTAATAGTGTTAATGCTGGTTCAACGTACCTGTGTGTGTGACTATTGTGTGTATATGACTTGCTTTTAGTTATTGCATCCAACATTGCATTACAATCTCAATAGTGTGCACAGAACTCATTAAGCAATAAAAGTCCTATGTCCTAAAGATGTGAATAATGAATGTCCAAGGAAAAATGTGAAGAGAGAATGCCCACATCTTTCAAGAAAAATCCAGAAAATAGGGTTATCTGAAGATAGATGAAAAGCCTCCACCAGATTGTAACAAAATGCAGGCTTACCAAATGGGAATGACCCTCTAACTAAAGTAATTGTAGTGATATTCCACAGGAATAACCTCTATAGTGGTCCATGGAAAGCCGGGTTTGACTCTGATCCATACCTACCCAAATGTACGTGCAATCTTCTTATTCTGCCATCCATCACCATTTCTCTCCCGAGAGACATCAGGTGTGACGAAATATGTAGGGCAGAGCCTGCTGTTGACATCATCGCATAACCGGACGTCATTCCAGAAGTGTTACTAGTATCGGACGGAAAGTGTTTTTATGTACCAAATTTTAAATGTGAGTGCATTTCAATTTTATAATAAATTTTTCGGATGAGTTTACGCTATGTGGGGCATTTTCCTTCATTCTTTTTTGAGCTATGATGATGGACAGTTGGATATGGAGAGCCTAGGTACATATGGTTTGTCACTATGTTTAATATCTCATAGTATGCTTGCTACTTATTCCACACAATATTTTAACATTACACATTACACAAGCGCGGTTTTTGCTGTTTGGAAATATATATAACTGTGTAACTATAATAAAAGTAAATGGGTTGCCCTACACTCAACACATGGGAAGTGGCACGCACTTGGTGACACTTCTGGGTATGAACAAGGCCTTAGATATCCCACAGATCTCTGCCAGGTCTTTGGCAGAAACATACCCCTGGTTTTTGGCATTTGTTAGCTTGTATAGATTTGTATGTGTACATGCATGGAAATACCCCAAGTGTGTGCAAGCATGCTGCCAGGTCTCTGTCAGTTCCAATATCTGGCAGAGAGCAGCACCAAGACTACACATGCACGGAATATTGCAGCACGCATGTGCCCTCAGCAAAACACAAAGCCTTCTTCACAGATTGGTGAACCTCTGCCCATTTTTACTTCTGAGATACTCTGACTCTCTAAGAAGCTCTTTTTATATACAGTCATGCAGGGGCGGACTGACCATTCGGGCTCTCGGGCACTGCCCGAGGGCCCAGGGTCAGTAGGGGGTCCCATGAGATGCCCCTGGTACCTTTCATAGGCTTTTTTGGGTGTGGTTTGAGTGTGTGGGCAAGGACACAGGGGCCCCATGATCCCCTATTGCCCGCGGGCCCCATGAGTTGTCAGTCCGCCCCTGCAGTCATGTTACTGACCTGTTGCCAATTAACCTAATTAGTTGCAAAATGTTCTTCCA